TTATGGATGAGGAAATTGAGGCTAAGAAAAGTTACATGACTTAGTGTCGTACTGCAAGGAAGCATCAGTGTCAGGTTTTCAGTCTCTGTCTTCTGACTCCAGAGACTGTAGTCTTTCAGCTATGTCATATCTGCGTCTCATGGTGGAAGATATGTTGGAAAATACAGGGCTTTATTAAGAAATGACAGAGTTCCAAAGCTTGTAGATTACTTAACCTCATGCTTATATTGTGAATACTTAGTTTTTCCAGAAGAAAATCAGAATATTTTATGGATAATGAAGATCAAAAAGTATGAATGATAAAATTGCCTATATTTTAATATTGGGGGGGGTTTGTTTTTTTTTTTTGCTTTTTTGATGGGCAATCCAGGTTAAGTGACTTGCCCAGGGTCACACAGCTAGTTAAGTGTCATGTGTCTAAGGTTGGATTTGAACTCGGGTACTCCTGACTCCAAGGATGGAACTTATCCACTGCACCATCTAGCTGCCCCGAAATTGCCTATATTTTAATGGATAGGGAACAACTAGTTACTGATATGGGAGTTTTTTAATTAGTTGTCTGTGTCTAGTCAGGTTATCAGCTAGTTAAAGCAGAGGTCAAAATCAGTGTCGAATTGGAAGAAAGGATAAAGATGAGAAGGCAGGAAAATATAGCGTGACATATCCAAGCAAGCATTGTCACCAAGAATCAAAAAGGAAAAAAAACCCCAGCAACAGTGATATGTATTTACCATTACTATTTCCTACTGAAGTTTAACTGATGTCAGACATAAGAACCCAGCAGCTGCAGCAAACGTTTGATCCACTTAAGGGCCATGCCAACCCAGGACAGTATCAGTTTACAGTAAATATTAATTTGACAAGCCTCTGACAGTGAAAAATGGTCGAAAATTATGATTGGTATCACCTTATAAGATGGAAAGTGTGTTAGAGAGGAAAACAAGTTTGTGGAAAATTTGGCGTGATAATTCACCTAAGCCAGATTGTCCCAGGAGATAACTGTTCACTTGTCAGTTATCTGTGTTGCAATATTTTAGCGGATCTGTGATCTCGTTGATGTGGGTAGTCATTCCAGCCGTGCGGATTGCCACCCATCCTTGCCTGATCATCCTATGTGATTTCTCATCCATTCTCTCCCATATATCACTAGAGGGGATCGACTTGATATGCTGGGGGACTTTTGACATCACAAGTATGCCAGTGAAGTATATGGGCTGTCTCTTGATAGTGTCTATTGTCAACCAGTCTTGCTTTTTTTTCCCCCCAATCATTTTTCTTTGACATCTTTTTTAAAAAAAATTTTTTTACCGTGTTATTTATTTATTTTATTTATTTGTTTGTTTCTAGGCAATTGGGGTTAAGTGAGTTGCACAGGGTCACACAGCTAGTTAAGTGTTAGGTGTTTGGTCTGAGGCTGGATTTGAATTCAGGTCGTCCTGACTTCTGGGGCAGTGCTCTATCCACTGTGCCACCTACCTGCCCCCGATGACATCTTTTATACCACTTCTTCACAATTCCTTGTTTGTGATATGTTGCAGGCTGGTCATCTCACTATGTGCCTCACATCATCCTTTGGGTAATCCTTAACTTAATTGTTTTACAGAGTGGTATTCTTTGACTCTTAGCCATACATCATCATTTGAAGAATATTATTATTAAAAAGATGGGTCTTTGAGGGATTTCAGATCTGGCCTCAGACACTTAGTAGCTGTGTGACCTTGGGCAAGAAGAAAAACAGACTATAGATTTCCTTAGCTGAAACAAAAGTGAAAATGTACCAGTGCACTAGTGTTAAAGCATCATAATGTGGTCCATACACTTGAATATATGGGAGTGGCATTAGGGCAGTGGTTCTCAACCTTTTCTGTCTCAGGACCCCCTTACACACACTAAAGATCATTGAGGAGTCCCTGAAGAGCTTTTTTTTTAATGTGAGTTTATAGCTATTGATATTTTCCATATTAGAAAGTAAAACATCTTAGCCTGATTTATGAAAATGGTTTTGACCCCACGGATCCCTTGAAAGGGTCCTGGGAGGTCCCCTGAGTACACTTTAAGAACTACTGCATGAGAGAATCCTTGAAACGGAACTTTGTTAGGAGGGGTCTTTTACCCATTGTGTGAGTCACCTGACCTCTGAGCCTCAGGATCATCATGCTTTTGGTACAGGCTTGTGTGACAGGTGGGAGAGGCTTTATAAACTTGATAAACTGGCTTTATAAACTTGATAAACTATGAACTGCTAGCAAAATGTGAATATGATTTGCCCATTTATGAGGCATTCAAGATTATAATGAATGTAAGAATTAGAATAGAATTCAAAAGTAGTTAAGGGAAAAAGTCTTAAAGAGAGCTTTTTTCCCCTCATTCAAATAGTATTCCATCATTTCCTAAGCACTTATCTAATTACTATGTTCCTTTTTCCTTATATCTGAGTCCTTGTGTGGAGATTCTAGAGTCAGGTGTTTTCATCAGTTCTTGAGTGATAGCGTCAGTTACTGTTTATTACATCTCTGAGCTTGCTTATGTGTCAAATGGGGAAAATACTAGCACTACCTGTCTGAGGATTGTTGTCAGGATCAAATGAGATGTAAGTAAATGCTATGTAATATATAAACTTACCATTTTGTACACAATGCTAGCTGCTCGTTATAATACATCTAGAAATAAATAATAAGGAATATGGATTGGTTGATTGTTTTTCAATTGCAGGGTCTTTGACACTAGCAGTGTGTCTTCCAAGATTCCTTTGCTGACCAGAGTCAGGTAAGTTATAGTGCGTCGGGTAATGAACGCCATCGTAGAATTGTTACGAGTACACACATTTATCATCTGATCATTCAGATTTGAGAAGACATTATCATATAACGATTGAGACTTAGTGTCTTCTTTATGCTATAGAGCCTACAGCACACTGAAGATAAGAAGTCTCAACTGTTATATAGTAATACAGTATAGGCTATCTAGATATGGTCCTTGATCCTTGGCTTTCTGACCCCCTCCCCCAATCAATTTGTACGTAACTCAGTTTATGCTTTTTTTGGCGTGTGTGCCTGTGTTGCTCGGTTCCTGTCCCTGCCCCCAGGACTGTGACTCACAGGTTTGCCTGGTGAGAGTGTGTGTTCTCTCCTAGTCTGGATGTTTTTGGTCATTTGTGGGGTTCTTGCTAAGAGAGTCAATGTGGTAGAATGGGTAGAGGGGAGGGCTTGGAGTCAGGAAGACCTAGATTCAGGTCCTGCTTCTGATGCTTTACTAGCTGGGGAACTGTGCACGAGGCAGACACTTACCCACTCAGCGTCCCAGGCAGTCTGAACTACAAGTGAACAGACACGTTGCCTTGGGGCTGCATTAATGTAGGGGGGAAATAGAGTAAAATTCAAAGGCATGTTGGAGGAAAGTCTGAAAGGCAACTTTCTCTTTCCCTCTTTAAATTGCATTAATTTGTTTAGCAAGCACTTTTATACTTGTATGTTTATTACTATGTGCCTTTTCCTTTTTCCTAAGATTTACTGTAAATGGATATTCTGTGGCTTTATATTTTCATTGCTTACTGAATAGCACTCTGAGTCTCTTTGGTTTGTTTCTGTCTGTCTGTCTGTCTTTCTTGAAGTATTTGGGGTTAAGTGACTTGCCCGGGGCCACACAGCTAGTAAGTGTCAAGTGTCTGAGGCTAGGTTTGAATTCAGGTCCTCCTGACTCCAAGACCGAAGTTCTATCCACTGCGCCACCTAGCTGCTCCTTTGGTTCATATTTTTAAAAAGGGTATTTATTAAGGACTTTGGTATGGAATGAGAAAATACCACATTTCTTTACCCTAGCCCCAAAAGAATTTCAGTTTTTAAAGTCATGTCCTGTGTAGAAATGCTACAAGATAGAAGTCCTAAGGATTAAATTGACCAAGCAGTTAATTTAAACACTTAGTTAAGGTTGTCTTGAGCTACTGTTATGAACAGAGAGCTCTTACTGTGTGACCTGAAGTAAGTAAGCCTCCCCGAAGAAGCAGGTATTCATGAAAGAAATGTGGCTTTTGTTCCTAATTGAGGCCGACACAGGTTACTGTAGTGAGAAATGTGACAGAGGATAGCTCCTTGCAGCAGTGTTCTCTGCACCCTTTTCATGTCTATGACTCTTTTCATGTTATTACTTGACACACTTACCTCTTTTGAACAACACTGTTTTCTGGCCAGGCATAACAACAGCACAGGCCGGTGGTTGACCAGGTTCCGAGCCGTGTGGGATCCAAAGCAAGAAGACTGCTTTATTGTTGGCAGCATGGCTCGTCCAAGAAGCATAGACGTGTTCCATGAGAGCGGAGAGCTGGTGCACTCTTTTAGGGACGGAGAGTGCCTTGCGTCTGTTTGTTCCATCAACGTTATGCACCCAACTCAGAATATCTTGGCTGGGGGGAATTCTAGTGGGAGAATCCATATTTTTAAGGGTTAAGAAAAAAAGTTGCCAAGATTTTGCTGTGACTAGATTTGATTAATTCAATTTAGGTAATGCCCAAGGAGCATTGATTTCTAGTCTTATAACACAGTTAAGTTGCTTTATAAATATGATAATGCCAAAATGAGCAGTATGCACTTTCATTTTTTGGGAGAAGCAATAAAAAATCTGGAGTTTTTTTTCCCCCTAATAGTTGGGGGTGATTATTTGGGGGGCTGATTTATGTTCGATTATATAGACATGTTCTGAGGTACTAAGATGTTTTGAATAACTAATATTAAAGTTTTTGTGACCTAATTGAGACTTAAGTCTTAAGTCTTTAGATTTGCAATTTCCGAACTTGTTTCTAGATTCATGCTGGAAGAGACCTTGAAAAATCATTTAGTCTTCTAATCAGAATTAATTCTAGAGGAGGTATTACATGACATTCCAGATACATAATATCTCTCCCTTTATTTAAATACCTCCAAGGGTGAGTGATCAAGCAGTCTTTTAGGGGCAGCTAGGTGATGCAGTGAATAGAGCACCAGATTTGAACTCAGATACTTGACATTCATTAGCTGTGGGACCCTGAGCAAGTCACCATTGCTTAGCCAAAAACAAAACACAAAAACAAACAAAATAACCGCTCTGAGTCTGGGTGGGTTAGGAGTCATTTCAGATTATGTGCCTCTCAGGCTATTTGTTTATTTGTGGTGTTTAAATTTTTTTTAAAAGTGATACTTTGTTTTTTTCCATCATCTGCATTTCCAGTTTTCTTCTCCTTCAAAGCATCTTCTCTTTATAACAGAGACTAAAAAAAAAAGACCCACAGAAAAAGTCTGACAGATGAAGAGCTGAAACAAAGGTGGGAGAAAATTCTGGCATTTATTTATTTTTGCTTTTTGGTGAGGCAGTCTGGGTGAAGTGACTTGCCCAGGGTCACACAGCTAGTAAGTGTCAAGTGTCTGAGGCTGGATTTGAACTCAGGTACTCCTGACTCCAAGGCCAGATCTCTGTCTACTGTGCCACCTAGCTGCCTCTTGGTGTTTATTTTTGTTGGAGTTTCTCTTTTTAGAACCTGTTGGAATATAAGTTAGGCTGAATAGTTGCTGGTCTAGATTCCTTTCTGGTGGCTGGTTTGGTGTCCAGTCTCATTGTGAGATTTATAGAGCGCAGTCAGTCTCCTTTCTGTTTTTGCCGTTCTGTTTGAGGTTTGATTGTTTACCTCTTTGTCTTCCTCATTCAGTGGTGTCCTAGTCTTGTCTGTGGTAACCTTTAAAAATACCTTTTTTAAGAATCCAGTGGCAAGTTAAGACTAGGTACGGCATTCCTGGGTGGCATGGATACATCGGATCCCTACTTTAGTTCTTTGCAGAAAGGCCCAAGCCAAATTGATGAGCAGCGGCCTATGAGTGTGAGAGTGTGTGTGTGTGTGTGTGTGTGTGTGTGTGTGTGTGCACGCGCGCCTCCATTTTAATTGCTAGGTGTCTGTCTTTTCTCGTAGTTCTTCCCAAACAGAACAGTACATCCCCCTATGTCCCACCTGTTGTATGTATGCCTTAAAACAGCATAAGCAGGGCCATCACAGGAATGCTACGTCCTCAGCATGTTTCATAGGATTTAGGCCTTAAAAGGGCCTTAGAAATCATCTGATGTCATCTTTATCAAGATGAAGAAATTGGGGCCCAAGGAAATTGACTTGCCCCTAGGACATAACAGGTAATGAGTAGTACAGCTGGAATTTGAATTGACTTTAACTCTGGGGTTCTCTTTTTTAACTACCCCTCCTTGGAGTTACTCATCTGAAACCCAGGAACCACAACCATCATCTCAAAATGCTGCTAAGCACTTGTGGCCTTCACTGGATTCTAGGTGGAATGACATTTTTTACTCTCCCATTTACAGGCTTGGTACATTCTCTTTGCTTTCTATCATTCTCCAGTCACTGCTGGAAGCAATGGGGAGGAAAAGAGAAGGGATTTCCTTGGTTCGTATAAAACCAGGTGTCAGAGTAACGTGCCCTTTCTCCTAAGTCCTAGCAACTGTTGCCAGGCAGGGCCATAAGGTCAACTATAGGGCGAGGAAGGGGATTTACAGTACTTCTCCTTCAGTGAATGTGTTAGGCGTGAAGTTCCACTTAGATAAATGATTTTTCACCATATTGTTACCAAACCTGCTGGCATTAAAAAAAGAAAAGAACCATTCATTTTCCATGATATTTAAATATTTATTTAATTTTAAAAATAGTCTTCATGGCACCAATGATTTTATGATAACTACATACTACGGATGTAGAAAAAAGTACATCAATTGAAGGAAAATGTAACTTTGAAGATTTGGCACATGAAAGGTTAACATCTATTTTTATGAAACTAAAATTCACATTTGCTGTAGTTTAACCTTCTACTGCTTAAAGAGGCAGTACACTATTCTTTAATAAGAGTTTTGTTTCCTCTGCTGGACAAAGCTCTGGAAACCAATGCTTTTCCTATAATGAGATAAAACTAATTGGAAGAGGAAATTGGGACCTTGTGGAACACATAATAAAACTGAGTTAAAAACACAAGCAATACTAAAGTGTGGGAGAGACACCATATGACATAAATGAATGACAAAGGAGGTTTGTTGTTCAGTCTATTTCAAAAGTAAATCTAAGGAAAAAATTCTGTCCGTAGTTTTTGGGTTAAACTCTTTTTAAAAAAAAAACAGTTCAATGGACAAACTCTCACAATTGGAAGTAGTGTAGCACTATTGTACCATTAGGACTCTAGACACAAGTAACACATTAGAAAATGAAATACTGCATCTTTAATATGTAATGAAAACGGTCTGGTTTGAGACTATCACTTGCTGCATAGAAACACATGTTACTACAGGCTGAGGTAGGAACACTACACTAAAAGTTAATCGGCTATGTTGCATAAGACAGTAGATATCCATGTTAAAACCAGCCCCCTAGCTCCTGGCAGCCTTTTCTCACATTGTCTACTTTCATTTGTAGTCCTATGCTAAAAGCTTTCTTATAAATGGCAGCAACTCTTATGTGAAACCAAACTTGTATTCAGTGACCTCTCTTTTCTCCCATCATTCTTGGTCTGTTTGCCACCCTGTCCAGAGGACACTGCTGAAAAGGGTGTTGCTGGCAGGGAGGCTGTAGGACAATCCATTCTACCAGATCGTCCTGTTCTTTCAGGTTCAGGCATCTTTAGTCTAGCATGGGGTATGGTCCTCACATAGCATGAGGTTTCCAAAGGGAAATGGTCACAGGTATCTTAATATCTCCTCCTCCTAGCATATAATTGGGTCTGCCCACAATGGCAGGAGAAGGTTTTTAATGTTACAGATGAAAAAAGACATCTTTCATAAAAACAATAAAATGGTATAAAAAAAAAAAGCTTGTGCAACAGCCTTGATTTCTATTAAAAATCATGGATCCACTTTCATCATTTCATTTGCTGTTTGTTCGCTGGTTTGAGTGTGCAGCTAATGAGGGAAGATCTAAGTTGAAAACTGCTCATTCTGCTCCCCCTCTAGGGGTAAAAGCAGCAGCCATCTGAAATTTGTCTCAGGAACACAGCCATCAAGAGTCTTCCTTAATAAGGTTTGTTAGGCCCCGTATAACTTAGAAATCTCTCCCTGAGATGAAAGCAAGATCTTGTGCCTTTCTGAGCATATGCTTTCCCTGCGTGTTCTTAGGCAGGTATTGTTGAGGCTTCCCTTGGTGAGGATATTGGGCCTTCATTTTCCTGATGAAGAGGATGGCCCTAAAAGGTTGAATTCCAGTATTGACTCCACACTTTTAGTCCAGTTCTTTTACCTTCTAGACTTAGAAATCCCCCTTGGCTGATTTCTTCTGGCCTCCTCCATGGATACTGATGTTGGAATTCTGTTTTTCTGGAAGCTTTTCATCCTCAGGATCAATTTCTTCCTTGAACCATTTTGTAATCAGATTCTATTTGCTCACTCCACAAAGTAAAAAAAAAAAAGATGATTAACAAAAAGGCATTTGGTTCTTAAATTATACATTGTGAAAGTGTCCTTTTCGGGTGGGTACAAAATATGTACCACTGAATCAAAGGTCTGTCAGGTAACTAAGCTATGATTGCTGCTACCTGTGCTTTTGCCTGAAATTCCTGAATGGGCAATCCATGGCTAGTAACTTCATTTGCCTTAGTACTTTAATACCTCTGGACCAATAAAAAAAGGGTTGAAGCTTGGGGAAAAAAATCCGCAGATGACTGAATTCACGTAACAGATACACACTGGTGTGCACCAGGCTCTAGTCTAAGGGAACAGACTTACCCTACCCCTGCTGCTGCTGCTGCTGGCTGTTTCGGTGGCCCTTCAGATGCCCACACTCTGCTCAGATTTGAAAAAAAAAAAAGAAAAGGAAAAAAAATAAATCCAACTCAGACCAATTGATAAAGGGGTTGGTTATGTGAACCAGCTTTCCAATCTATTCAAAGCAGATGTCTGTTAGTGAAAAAGTTGTGGCTGGGAAGGGAGCCTGAGCAAATCCCCTTTTCAGAAACTGCTTTACCCCAAACACATTCCTCTGAGGCTGCTGTGGCCAGTCCACTAGCACTCCATAGCACCATTACAAAGGCTCCTGCAGGATACAACAGTGCTAGTCCTTAACTAGTGTCCCATCTGCCAGGTGACACTAATGGAATAATCATTAGTTATAATAAAATAAATTCTTTTTATTTGATACTTTCAAAATAATAAACATCTATGAAAATCAAAATTCAAACCCAGAAATTATCCTGCAAATTGGAAAGAAGAAAAACAGAACCGCAGAGTCTTTCTTGAAAGAACTTCAGAAGAAAATGAGTTTCCCCAGTTTATTTAGGCAGGACTCAAGCCTATCCCTTTCTTCTCCCGGGAAACAACCCTCCTAGGCTGCAGTGTACTTGGAGTCATGAGAGGAGGACTTATATGTGCCGATGGTTCCGCGATGGGTCCCATTGCTGGGAACGAGTAGCAGGTATCTCCTCGGTCCACCTGGCTAGTTAATGGGAGGAGTCATACCTTCTCAGGTGTCAATAAGCAGGCTCATGACTGAGCGGATTTTGCAGGCAAACCATCGCCTGAGGGGATAAAAGTATTGATAATGGAACTGTTCAAATTCAGGGGTCTGGCGGATATCACGGAAAAAGGCAATGTCAAGGTCAGACTCGGTAAGGATGATGAGGAGGAGAAGCAAAACAAAGAGGAGTCCCACAGTCACAAGGAGCAAACGGAGGACACTTAAAACAAACTTATTCACCTGTTCTGCCTCTGGCCCGTTGTGGCCTGGACACAGGGCCTTCAGCTCGCCCCCCAGTGCCTCCACTTCTGCTGTGGTTGGGGTGCTGGCTTCCGATTCCTTCTCCTCTTCGATGCTGCAAGGGGCCCCATTGATCTGCCTTGAGAGCAGCATCAGCTCCAGGCTGTGCTCTGCCACGGGAGTGGGCAGCACGCTGTCTGCTGGGCTGTAGGCCTCATCTGCTATCACTGCCACCCGCTCGCTACTGTCTGCCCGGCCGCTCCGCACGTGAGGCAGGAAGGTATCACTGTGGGAGGTTGATCGAACTGGGGTTGAGTGAGCGCTGTCCCGAAGGGATTCCAGACCTAAGGGCAAGAAGGACATATGAACATGTGTCATTCACAAGAGGCACATCTGGCTAGTGGCTGAAAACAGGATCCAGTTTTGTGCTTTATAATAGGTCCTTGGACATAGTGATCCACGTGGGAAAGAAAACCTGAGAACATCAGCTTCTTTTTTCCGGGGGGGGGGTTTAGGCAACGGGGTTATGTGACTTGCCCAGGGTCACACAGCTAGTAAGTGTTATGTGTCTGAGACTGGATTTGAACTCAGGTCCTCCTGAATCCAGGGCCAGTGCTCTATCCACTGCACCACCTAGCTGCCTCAACATCAGCTTATTTAGAGGAGATGTGAAAGAACAGTTTTCACCCCAAAGGGACCAACTTCAGTGACCACAGCTGGTCTACTTCATTCTTTACCTCTGGTTCTAGATTTAGTAAATTAATGGTCATTCTATTCCAGTGCCACACCCAGGATATCTTGACCACCAGGGATTTCCAGAATTGCCTTGTCACCTTCCTTTAAGTGCCAGGAATTTAAGGCAGGAAGGTATTTGTACCTTAGGCTGTGGCTTTGGGGAATAGGATTAGGAAAGGATGTATTACATATAGAACTGACTTCCACAAAACACCTACTCAAACTTTCTCAGAGTGCAGACCTAAAAGAACACCTTGTCACTAATAAATGTAATAATGATAGCTCATATTTCTCTAATGCTTAAAGCTTTAGTATGTACTTTCTTCTACAACATTCCTGCAAAGCCATACCCTACCTACAGTGGACCCTAACTTGAACTTGCAGGTTGAGTCTCTTGTTAAGATAACCATCCCAGGCTCAAGGCTTTGTGGGTATGTCGTCTTAAAACTATAGCTTATGAGCCCCAATCAATGTATTCTGCTTGTTTTGAGCCAGCCAAAGTACACAGTCAGCCCGAAGCAAAGGCATTTATTGAAATGGCATTCTCAGGACAACAGAAACAAAAGAGTTCCCCAAGCATTCGGAAGCACAGTTTATCAATTGTGGACACTCTCAGACCCCTACTATTCAGTTCTTCCCCCTTTACAGATAAGGAAACTGATAGAGTGGTTGCCAGACCAAATCCCTCCCTGATGTAATGAGGTTTCTATTGCTTTGAGCCCTTTTAAAGGTGCAAGTTCTGTATATCCCTCTCTCTTCATTCCTTATAGCACAAGGGTATAGGACCTGTTCATGAGCCTTGACATTTTATTGGGGGAGCCTTGTACTCGGGCTATTAGCAGGGAATTTTTCAAAGCTCCTGCCACTATTAAGGATATACTGGACAAATCCAAGGACAGACAAAAATATTAAGTATTCTGGAATATCTCCTACATCTGCTCATTTCTTCAATCAATCAAAAATAAACATTGAGTGCATGCTATATGCCACTCACTGTGCGGTGTGCTAGGGATATAAAAAGAAGCGAAAAACCCATCTCTGTTCTCAAGGAACTTAATCTAATAGGAGAGACAATGTGCAAACAAATCTATATAAAACAAGCTATATACAGGAAAACAATAGGGAAGGCACTAGAATTGAGAGGGGTAGAGGAAGACTTCCTGTAGGAGGGGGTACTTTAGTTGGGACTTAAGGGAAGCTGTAGTGGAGGAAAGAGAGCATTCCAGGCATGAAGGACAGCCAGAGGAAATAGAGCCATGAGATGGAATGTCTTATCTATGGAACAGCTAGGAAGCCAATGTCACTGGGTCAAAGAGTACATGTTGGTAAGTAAAGTGTAAGAAAACTGGAAAGGTAGAAGGAGGGCTAGGTAGTGAGGACATTGAGAGAGACAGTGAAAGCAGACTTTTTCCCGTTTCCTAAGAAATATGTCCTCAGCTGAACCCCTAGACCCTGAGCCCACCTGGTCCATTTCTTTTACCAGGAAATGGGACATGTGATCTGCTGCTTTTCCCCAATCCTTCTAATTCAATACATGTGAATTAAACAGTACTGAGCACGTGCTCAGTCATGTCCGACCCTTCATGACCCTGTGGTCCACACTGTCCATGGAGCTTTCTTGGTAAAGATACTGGAGTGGTTTGCCATTTCCTTCTCCAGTGAATTAAAGCAAAAAGATGTTAAATGACTTGCGTGGGGTCACATAGCTAGTAAGTGTCTGAGGCTGGATTTGAACTCGGCTCTTCCTGACTTCAAGCCTAGTGCTCTCTATCCACTGCACCAACTAGCTGTTTCCAGGGTAGGTGTTACACATTCCCATTTTACAGATGAGGAAAATGAAATGAGTGGACTTTGTTCAAGGCCGGACAAGTAACCTGTAGTAGAGCTAGGACTAAAACTTAGGTCTCTTAACATCCAGCCAGATGTTTTTTTCTGCTACATGGCACTGCTCAGTAGCTGAGCTGAGTGTGCTAAATGACTCTAAATTTAGTGGGAGGCAACACAGATATGAACCAACCTCTATGCTAGTAGCCTACTGCCTTCAGTTAACTGCCTGAGAAATTGTCCTGAAACAGTGTGAAGGTGACAGGCCCCATCCAGGATCACTAATCAGGCTATGATCTTCCTGACATAGCATATCCGTTTTGCTCAGTACAGTTTCCTCATCTTGACCTTCAACTTGGCAAGCAAAGGGGTAGAGAGTGGGGGCAGTGATGGATTTGTGATGAGTGGCCCTAATGACCTGATGGCTGCATGTTGTCAACTCTCTTCCTTTCCCATTCCATCTCTTCATTTCCTTTCCCTTTCTCATCTCACCTCACCCTTGACTAGTACAGAAGGTACGTGGCAGCAACTGCCTGACACCCCGGAGCATTCCAGGGCAACGTGCCCATACCCTTACAAGGACAGTACAGAGCCCTCCCTGCGTCCACAGCATGACTAGTACAGCTGATTAGCAGCCACTTCAGAAAAGGCTCAGCTTGGTCCAGGAATGGGCTTTGAGAATGCTGGGGGAGGGAACAGGGATTAAACATCTGAGTAAGAAAGGAGGTCAGAGGCACCCAGTCCAAGTGACATGGTGGGCTGGCTCTTGCTTTTGCCAGGAAACCCCAGCAATAATGCTATTGTGTCTGCCTAAGATGAGCCCTGGACTGAGGGTTTGACTTTTACCATCTCAGAAAAGGCCTCAAGGTCACTGTCAAATCCAGCATTCTGAGATGGTGCCTGAGGTGGGAAGTGGGGGGAGGGCAAGGAGGAAAGAAAGAGACAGAGGAATTTGTGTTGGCCCATCCTAGTTAAGATCTAAGGTGCTGCCAACAGGACAGAACAAAAAGAATATTATCTGTTATTACCTCGGAGGCATTCCAGATGATCTTGGCCAGCAGTGGCCTTCATAATCCTCCGAGGCACTACCCGGATCCTTCCCTGTAGCTTGGGTCCCACTCTCAGGACACGCACACTCATGGACCACTGACAATGGTTAGTCATCCGGAGTTGAACTGGAACTTTGGTCTGAATCTTTATCAGGCTCTTTCCCATGTTGATCCTTGGGAGTCAAGACAATCACCACTTCAGGCATTCAGTGCTCGTCTTGGAAAATCGATCCATGTACCAAGAATGGAGGGGAAGCCAGCCAAAAGCAAAGAGTTTTCAATGAGCCCTACTCTCAGATCAGGCAGGATAGAGCTGTGATGAAGGGGAAAGCTTCAGAGAGGGGAGTATTCATTAAGCTGGGCTCAAGCAGAGGCATTTGTAAGAGAGATCTTGTTTTTGTGGTTCCCAAGGGGCCTCAACTCTAATGACGGGCACAAGATCTGAGTTGTTTTATTGGCAGCTTCTTCATCAGTATTCTAGATAAATGTGCTGGCATGAGATCTATTCGTTGCAAACCAGGAACAGATTCCAGGCTGGTGCGTGGATTGGCTCTGACCAGTAGCTCAGCCCATACAGATGAGTGCCCTGGGCATATGCATGCCCCCCCTGCTCTGTCATCTGGATTCCTATACACCCTCTTTGAGAAGTATTTCTGGTAACTGCAACCTGGAGTGTGAAGAGTTTTTCCCTGAGGATTTTGTGTTAGGTTCTTTTTCGCTTAAACTGATGTTATCTTCTGCTGGAAAAGCTATTTCCCTTTCGCTACAAATTTCCATTTCAACCCAGGGTCATCTTGGGGGAATCAGACATATCATTAGCCACCCTACCCAAGCTATCACCGCTTGTCCTGAGAAGGTCATGAAATGGCTAAACTGGGCAGGGATAAGGTAAAAGGCTTTATCAAGGGTACAAGAGTGGCCCTAACCCCAGAGAAAGTGGATGCCTCATCCACATTCCTGATGCTGTTTTGGAGACCTTGGCAACCCTGATGCATTGGAAGATGGTGTCACCCCAGGCTGGCCAGGCTGAAATGTGCTTCAGGTTGGGTGAAATTACCTTTCAGGGATTCAGGGAATCAACAAAACAGAGTATGTAGGTCCACCCTCCCTTTCTTCCTCTTCTTAAACTTGAGATAAGCCACTTCTAAACTGTTGGGAATCCCAGACAAAGCACAGAGCCCAGTTTTCCAATATCCATTAGTTCCTTGGGGTTTTAGCTGGTTAGTGCCTGACCTTTGGTTCTTGAGCCCATGTTGAGATGCATCAATGGTCTTTTCTTTGTGGCTGTCACATATCCTCCCCATTCAGCTCCCCACAATAAGGAAAAGCAATTGTGTTCCTTGGGCAGAATTCCAGAAATGAAGTCTATCTACCCTGCAGTGATTCTGTTTCCAAAGAACTCCTGGGAATAAAGCTGTCCCTCTTTCCATAGGCTTACTTTTTGCTGTATGTACACAGCACTTAAAAGCCAAAATCTTTTCCTTTCCATTCATTTCCTAGAGTAAAGGAAGCATGTCTCTGCTTAGATTTTGCCTGTCCTTTCTATCCCTCAGACTACTTGCCAGGACCCTGAACCAACTCCCTTTCACTGTCAACTTTAAAGCTCAAATCCTCTGTGTACTCACAACCAAGCTTAGGCCTTCAGCAATTCTAGGCTTCTATTTTTTTTTTCTTGTGAGGCAGTTGGGTTTAAGTGACTTGCCCAGAGTTACACAGCTAGTGTGATGTGTCTGAGGCTGAATTTGAACTGAGGTCCTCCTGACTCCAGGGCCAGTACTGAATTCACTGCACTACCTAGCTGCTCCTGTGGGCTTCTATTTTTAAGAATTTGGATAACATGCCCATCTTGGGTAAGGCTAATGATAATTACTGATATTATTATAGTGCTTTAAACCTTGCAGCATCCTGAAAACATCTCATCTGGGCCTGATAGCGACCCTGGGAGAGAATACTATGGAACGACACTGAAATTCCTTTGTTAGGACAGCACTTTCACCTGAAGCTTTTGGTCTAATCTGGATGAGGAAATCTCTTTCTTTAACTATCAATTCTGAAACAATCTACGCACTGAAAATTTTCTGTCATCTGTAGCTTTTTTTTTTTTGAAGCAATTGGGAGTGACTTGCCCAGTGTCACACAGCTAGTAAATGTCTGATGCTGGATTTGAACTCAGGTCCTCCTGACTCCAGGGCTTATATTTACTAAATACCTAACTACTTTAAGAAGAAACGAGGTACAAATTTAAGAAAAAACACTAAGGTTCCAGGAAATGGATAAGCATGGTAGCCAATTTAAAGCAGGGACACCTGAACATATATATATATATATATATATATATATATATATATATATATATATATATATGGTTATTAACCTATCTTCACCTTTAACTGGATTTAGGGAAATGATTCTTCTGTAGAATGCATGTTTGATGTTTGATGAATCGAAACTGTTACCTAAACTTTCACGTGAACTTTGTAACTACGTTTAACTTCTTGTGGGATTTTGCCCTTTTTAGGGGTAAATACAGCAAGGTCCTGATTAGTGGGAAAAACAGTTCTCCTGAAGAGTTCATAGAATTTGAATTTGTGCTCCATATTTCCATACTTTACACATTTATAATTTTTAATAATATGAATTCAAATACATGTGACCTCATTGGCAGAGGAGTGGGGGGCAGTATTCACACTAATTGGAACCTAGTTGTACTATAAATTGTGACTGAAAATGGCTTATGTCACAGAGAGGTTTACAAAGTCAGGATGGATTTCTGTCCCTTTGGATTTTCTCTATTTAAGCAGATATGCTTATAATTAGAATAATCGAATCAACAAAATTATCTCCAGTGGGCTTGTGCCCAAAAATGTAAAGTAGTTTTCTTCCACAGTACCCACAGCTATTATCATTCCCATTTGAGAAATGAGAAAACATCATCAGAGAAGTTAATTTGTCCATAGTCACAAAGCTATTAAGTATCAAGCTGCATAGCCTCTCATTCCCACTTTACAGTGGATGGTGCTTAGGCTACCAGTCCTGCTCACCTCTAGGTATTCAAAATTGTTGAAAAATTTGGACCAAAGGAAATGCCTCTCCAAAGTCCTATCTTTGAATTTTTATGTCATACCTTATTTCAGTATGTGAAATAATCTATAATTTAAAAAGGGATCTCTCAACTTCCTGAGATAGAATCCGTCTATGATATAGCAGGTGATCTCTCTCCTTTTTTTTTTGTAAACAGTATTTTATTTTTTCCAATTACATGTAGAAATACTTTTCAACATTCATTTTTGGTAAGATTATGAGTTCCAAATTTTTCTCCCTCTCAACTCTCCTCCCCAAGACAGCAAACAATCTAATATAGGTTTTACGTTTAGAGTCACGTTAAACATATTTGTACATTAGTCATGCTGTGAAAGAAGAAACAGAACGAAAGGGAAAAACCACAAAAAAGCAAACAAACCCCCAAAGTGAAAATAGTGAAAAAAAATTTGATCTGCATTCAGACCCCATAGCTCCTTCTTTGCATGTGGATAGCATTTTCCATCATGAGTCTCTTGGAATTGTCTTGGATCATTGTATTGCTGAGAAGAGCTAAGTCTATCAAAACTGATCACTGCATAATGTTTCTGTTACTGTGTACGATGTTTTCCTAGCAGGTGATCTCTTCCCCCCCACCCAATAGCATTTTATTTGTTCCAATTACATAGGTGATCTCTTAAGAGATGCTGTGGCTAAGTAACTAATCACGTGACAAGTCTCTCAGGTAAGCTGGGGCTCAGATCACAGTTATAACTCACAGCTCCCTACAAGGCTTACACCTGCCTGTTGGCTTGATTAACAAGTTGCCAGAGTTTCTGTTCCACCTCCGTTGAGAACCCAAGGCCACTTCTGTCACAAAAAGGAGCATTGGAGGAGGCTCATAATGTCATGATAAATGCTTGAAACAGACAGTAGTAGTTCTCTCTGGGTTCCACTCATGACTTTCCCTGCCACATCACGGTAGCCTTTTTGCCTTGGAAGTTCTGCAGCCTCTTCACCCTGTGGCCCCTTTCTCTGCTTGGCTGGCTCCTCCCACAACCTCCATTTCAAGGAAGGCACTTGGGCCAGCCATGTCTTCATTCCTCTCTTCTGAGAACCCAAGGCCATTTCCATACCACAAAGTGGAGGACTGGAGGAGAGTCTTAAAGGCATGACAAATAATTGAAATTTACAGCAGTAGTCCTGTCTGGGCTCCACTCATAACTTTACCATGTCCCTGCATGAGCACCTTCTCTCTCCTCTTCTATCTCCCACCCCAGCTTTTGAGCATCTTTTTATGTGTCTTCTTCCCTTATTAGATTGTAAGCTCCTTTAGAACAGCACGTGGCACAGAATGATTGCTTAATGAAGCCTTGTTAACTTGTTGAATTGAGTAGTGTCACCCATCATACAACTTCCACCAAGAATGGAGAAGGGGTCTTTTTTCTCACTGGTAGTTCACTCTCTTCTGAGGAGGCCACCATTTTTAGGAATTCTCAGAAACAGAGCACACAGCTCTCTGTGATCACAGAGGGAGACAAGGCTGAAGCTGTGCTAGCTAGCTATTTTTCTTCTTGCTCTTTGACACATTCCAATAGCCTATTAAAAAAACCCACTGCCATTCAGGGACAACGTACCAAATTTTACGCCCGTCCTCAGCATGCAGGAGGAGCTGGGTTAGCAGCAGCAGCTGAGAAGTTACAGCCAGAGCTTCCCCCTAAATCGTGTCAACCCCCAGGAGACTATGGAGGTTTTGGCCTTAGTTATCTGAACAGCCAGTTCAGTGAAGACCTACAAACACACACACACACACACACACACACACACACACATGCATGCATTCACATTCTCCTCTGAAAGGAGGGGAAAGACAAAAGACCAAGTATAGGATGACTAAAATAGCCTGGATTTCCAGGAATAATGATGAAGGATTCAAGTGGCAAAAAGCTAGATCTCTACAACTCAAATGAAGCCATGAAGCCAGAAGTTAAGGTAATTATTTGAATAATACAGAACAAAAGCAATTTCTATTTACCTTGTTTTCCGCCTCAATGGCTGTCTCATTAGGGTGTGGAGATTTGATCAAAACAGGGCAAAACAAGTGAGGTTTCTTTTTTTTTTTCTTTAAAAAAATTTTTTTTTGGTGAGGTTTCTTTAATATGAGAAATAAGTCAGAAACTGCCTGGGATCTGCAAGTTTCTTTCTAATCATCAGATTAATCAGTCAGCCCCAAGTGTGATGGTCTTGAGTTCTGGCTCCAGTAACCAGACAGAGGGATAGAAGGTCAGCATTCACAAGAGCTTGTTGGCATCGGACTGGCGCCGTTAGCCGATTTTTTCACAGGAAGCTGCTTCCCTGTGCCACTTAGTATACCTTCATTACTGGAGTGGGTTTAAAGTGGCTCTCAGTTTCTCAGACAGAATTAGATCCCAAAGCCAAATATAGACCCCATAGCTTTAGGCCTAGGCTTAAAAAAGTTTTTCCACAGAGGGAAGAGAAATGAGGCACTGCCCATTTCCTCTGTTTCTTCTGTTTGGCTCCACAAGATGGAAAGTGTGTGAGAGTGTGAGTGTGTGTGTGTGTGTGTGTGTGTGTGTGTGTGTGTGTGTGTGTATACTGACATTCTCAGTCTGACACTTGAACCATTTTTTCCCAGAGCCATGGGATATCCTTAACGATTACAGTCTCATTCCACTGAAAGAAACTTGCAGCTGCTTCTAATGGCACCTGTCCCATTTTCAGAAAAGCTAGAAGCTCAGAAACACCACACTCAAATATCAAGAGAGGAATCCCAAAAGTTGATCAGAGAGTCATAGGTTTAGATCTGGAAGGTACTTTATTTATTTATTTTTTAAAGGCAATTGAGGTTAAGTGACTTGCCCAGGGTCACACAGCTGGTAAGTGTCAAGTGTTTGGTCTGAGGCCGGATTTGAACTCAGGTCCTCCTGACTTCAGGGCCGGCGCTCTATCCACTGGGCCACCTAGCTGCCCCTGGAAGGTATTTTAGAGACCACCAAGGCCAACCATCCTCATTCTGAAGATGAAAGCCAGGTACAGGGTCAGTGACTTGCCCAGGGTCACACAGCTAATAAGTGTCCGTGGTGGGGGTTAAACTCTGGTCTTTCAGACTGAAAGTCCAGAGCTCCACCCACCACATGTGGCCTCAACAGCATCAACGATGAAGGACCCTTTATCTCCCCCTACCCGAGAAGAAGCTCACCTTCCATGATGGAGATGTGAACAGCTCTTCGGCGGGTCCTGGGGACGCTGCTCAACCTCGGTCCGTGTGTGATGGAAGGGCAGCTCCGGCTGGGAACCATTCCGGCCCTGAGCACAGGGGGAAGAAGAACCTCTCAGTCCAAAAGCCAAAGGGCAGGGAGGGATTGTGGGGAGGGGATTAGGAAGACCAGAAAGCTGCAAGGATTGCCTGGCCACATGTATCTCATTCTCTTTCACTGTACCTCTGCTTCTCGGTGGTTTCAGGTTCTAGACAAATGCACAGTTAAACACCTAAGTCCCCTTATGCTCAATCTTTCCTCTGGGCAGAGACAAATGGGGGAGTTTTGCATCAATACCAGCCCACTCTTATTGCACCGAGGATAAAACATAAGCTGTTTAGTACTTAAAGCATTTCAGAACCTGGCCTTAACCTTTCTGTCCAGTTTCACTGGATACTATTCCCCACCTATCCCCAACCTTGGCAATCCAGACAAACGGGTCTCTCTGTATACATCTCACGACAATCCTTCTCCTATCACTGTGCTTGTCGCACTGGCTGTGCTCCCATGCTTAGAACACATTTCCTCCTTATCTCCCTCTTGTAGAATCCCCCTTCCTGTAAGACTGCAATTCAGTCGCCTTCTTCTTGTTGAAACTTTTCCTGAGTCTTCAATGAATAGATAGTGCCTCCCTACCAAACTACCTTATATTTATTTTCTCTCCCTCTGAACTTTAAGCTGCATACATTTTAACATGTGCTTGTCTCCTCCATTAGAATGTAAACTCACTGTAAACAGGCAAGGTTTTATTTGTTGTGCTTGTATCCTCAGAGCCCGGCACAGGGACTGGCAAATGGGGAGCACAAATTAAAACTTGATTGAATAATTGATTGGTTCCAGAATAATGACAGAACACAGAAGACTGTAACCTAGGGAAGGGAGGGGCACTTCTCTCTCAGATCTGGGCATCCCCAAATGCCCCAGTGCGGTTTAGAGGGTCTGCCTCCATGTATCTCGGACCAATTGTGTATTCCCACCCTGATCCACTGCCTCTCCAGTTAGAGAGAGCCAGTATCCAGCCTTTTAAAATGAACCGACTACAGGGTCTTGAAGAAACTGATCAGTCCTTTCTGAAGAGCACTGCTGACTGGGGCTTTGGGAACCCTGGAAAACGTTGTCTGGACCAGCTGTTTCAGAAAGCTGACAGCAAGGGTTTCTACGAGTTCCTTGAAAGGAACACAGTCTTCTTCCACCCAGGACAATGCTTTGGGGACATCTAGCTCAGGGCCTCCGGCTCTTGGCTCCCCTCACGTCCATCCTATCCCATGACTTGAGACAAATCCTCTAATTCTGGATACAGTTTTCACCAAAGCATAGAGTGCATAAATGTCCATGACTTTAGACTGGCTGAATCCAGATTCCCATTTTTGGGGAATACCATGGAGAGCTTTCCCTATTCCAGGAAGACAGGAGTTCTTGGGTCTCTTCAAGAACTCACAAGTGCTCCTCAATTAAGCCTGAACCTACCCACTCTTTGGGGAATGGAATCTGCCTGGGTGAGTTTCCCACTCATCCTACTGGACTTCCTTTACTGTCTTCTACCAGGGGCCTTTGTTGGGGGGGAAGGAAGAGGGGATCCAGGACCCCACTGGCTTCTGGCTCACTCCTCCAAAATGCTAGTCTTCAGGAGTTAGCTCTGGGAGGGCCCCTACTCCTCTCACCTGTGTATTTCTGGTGGTTCCCTTTTAATCTTGGCGCTAGATTCCATCACTTCCTTTGCCACTCGGCCACTGAAAGCAATTTGAGAATTAAAAACAGCAACAAGAACTGAAAAAAACATGTAAGGATTAGGTCCAAAGATTACCTTAGCCATCCCAACAGGATGGGTGTGAGGCAGCCCACTTCCCCATCCCCCTGAACCTTGCCACTGTCAGGAATGCAGGCAGAGTGACTAAGTCGTGATGATAGGTAATAGCATCTTTTACAACAGCCTAATCACTGAGAAAGACTCGCTTGATGGCATACAAAAGTTCAAAATCTCCTGGTAGTTAGCCATACAGGCACCTCCCTCCCCATCCTTGGGAGCTACGTCATGCTCTAGTCCTGGCAATGAATAATGTACCTTCTCTCCAATGGGCATATAGGATGCAGGAAAGCAAGGCAAAGTTTGGGAGAAAAGGTGTGATTCCACCAAAAACCCCACAAAAAAAACCAAACCCCCACAATAACAGCTAATAGTTACATAGTACTTCACATAAATGCCCATTTGATCCTCACAACTATCTCATGAACCTAGTGAGGTAGGTGCTATTACTATCTCCATTTTACAGATGAGGAAACTGAGGCCAACAAGTTTTAGTGACTTTTCAAGGTCATACGCCTAACGAAGCAAGATTTGAGTCAGGTCTTCCTGATTTCAAGTCCAGTATTCATATCTATTATAAGAAGCTACCTCTCACAGCCACAAAATCCATCCCCCACCCCCCAATTAGAAGTTAGCTCACTGGAAGCAGGGAATGTTTTATTTGTTGTAGTTGTATCTCCACAGCCTAGCATAGGGCCTGGTATACAGAAAGCATAAATAAAAATGAATGATCCCAGAAGAGTTGATCTAAGAAATGAAGACATTTTAAGAATTGATCCCAGGAGACACAAAATTGTAAGCTGAAGGAGAAGGAGCATTTTTATCTGGAACCTAAGTCTTGTTTGAGGGCTCAAACAAAGGAATGTGAGGAAAGGAATCTGGAGGCCATCTGGAAACATGGGGACAGAATAATGAGGGGAAAAATTGGGATTTTCAGTAGAAGCCTCTCATGTCTCAATTCAGAGGGCAAAGAACACCAAGTGACTGCTCTCCAGAGAAGGGTCTGAAAAGAGGTCCATTAACTGCTACTTACTGTCACTATTTACCTGTATCGGAACCGGCTCCCTTTGAAGAATAAATTGCTGCTGGAGACGGTGCGGACCTGGCTTGACTTCTCCAATCTGTAGCAAGACAAAGCCCAGATTTATGGAAAGTGTCACAATTCATGCTGAGGAAGCATCACCTTTTCAACTCTTTTCAAAGTCCATTTGAAGAAAATGCAATCTGAAAATATTTGGGAGAGGTACCCTCCTTACCCTGAGCATGACCTCTGGGTGTGTGTGTGTGTGTGTGTGTGTGTGTGTGTGTGTGTGGTGTGGGGGAACAGAAGAAAATCCTTGCTCACTTAGCTCTGTTGTGCCTAAGTTCAAGGACCAATGAGGGAGTTTTGCACCAACTTTTCCCTCATCCTCCCTGGTACAAGAGGAAGAACTATTAAGACTATGCAAAGGGAGAGGCAGGAGGGACTTGACAGGAAGAGAGGGGGTGTGAGAACCAGCTACCTTACCTGGTATTTGTCTCTAGAACTGTCCATGAACGTTCGTGAGCCTGGAGCCAATAAAAATGACGTAGTGGAGAAAATACTTGGTTTGGAGTCCAAAAACCTAGGTCAGACACTCAGTTCTGCTCTTTTATTACTTGTGTGACTTTGGGGAAAATATTTGACCTTTTTCGGTGTCAGTTTCCTCATCTATAAAATTAGGGGGTTGTATTAGATCAAGAATTTTTAACCTATTTTGCATTATGGACCTCTTCAGCAGTCTGGTGAAGCCTATGGACCCCTTTTCAGAAAAACGTTTTTAAATGCATAAAATAAAATATGTAGGATTACAAAGGAAGCCAATTATATAGAAATAAAGATGCAATTTTTTTCCCCATACAAATTCATGGACGCTTTGAAATATGTCCATCTACTTTTTGGTGGTGGAGGGGTGGGGGGGGAGGTAGAGGGGTAGAAGGGAGGAGAAGGGGGTGTGTTTGTTCAGAGACCCCAGATAAGAAGCCCTGGATTAGATTATCTCTAAGGTCTCATCCAGCTCTATAAACCTGCCCTCCCCTTTACCCCATACCCCTTTAACATATATACACAGAAACATCAACAGAACCAAGATCTTAAACACTGGGAACTTCAGGTATGATAGAATCAAGAACTGTTTGACACAGAAGGAATCTACTACAAGGGGGCTCCAAACCTGGGGTATGGGTACCCAGAGGTGGGTACAAGAAGACTTGTCATGAGGGTATGGTTTAAAAAACAAACTATAATTATCCTATTGAAATATTCCCGGTGAAGACTAACAATTCATCACAGTGAATCAGGATTCTTAGTCCTGTTCTCAATCAAATCCAAAGTAAAAAACAAACTAGAAGTTGAACATGAGATGTGGGTTTCTCTTTCAAAAACTATACTGAGTTATTTGACAAGAAATGAATCAAGGGTCTCACTAATTTAGGTGACTGTGCTTTGATAAAGCATTTAACAACTTTACAATACTTTAAAAAGTATGCACTGAATAACATTTTCTTTATGAAAAATGAAATTATTTTACAGGTACAATTGTCTTAGTTGTATATACACAAATATGAAGGGTATGGCAAATAAAGTAGACTAGTGATATTGCTGCAGAGAAGGAAATTCAACTCTGTAGGTATTACTGAGATTTGGTGGTTTGTAATTTATGGTTTTGGAAAAAGAACAGATTAGCTTAAAGGGATGGTGGAGTAATTTTGTATATAAGAGGATATACTGAACTCTTATGGGAAAATCCATTAATCAGAGGGCGAAAGCATGGGGAAGAGCATTAGTTAGGGAAAGACAGAGGGATTAGAAAAAAATTAGAGGGAAAAAACAGAGAGAAGGAGGAAATGGATAATGATGTCATTAAATAGCCCACAAATCTGGAACAGAGAAATGGTATATTAATAATGAGTAGTTTCAACTATGCAGACAACCATAAAAACTCTATCTGATAAAAGCAGAGGAGTTGATATCTTGACTTGATTCTTCAAAAGGTAGAGGAGGCAATAAGGAGAACTGCTACTGTAGACCTCATTCTGACCAATAAGGAGGAAATGGTGGCTGAATTAGAAATTATGGGAACCTTTCATGGAATTGGCCATGCCACTTAAGAGATGGAAAAGTCAGATACAGTCTGATATGCATGCTAGATTTGGAAGAGTAGATTTCAGAGTTCAGAAAAAGGACAGGTAGGGTCCTGTGAATTAAAATGTTACAGGGGATGAGGAACAGGGAGGCTTTTAAGAACAAAATTGGTGTAATAAACAGAATTCGAATGAAGAAGGAAAGAGGAAATAGCTAATGAGAATGGATCTAAATCTGGATCTAAAAAACACTTGTACAGGATAAAGAAGCAATGCTGGGCAACCTAGAATGAATGCAAAAGAGTGGTAGAGTTATAAAAGAATATTATTAAAAGCATGAAAAACTCAGAAACTTGGATAAATGCTAAAGATAACAAAAAGGGTGTCTTCTGGCTATGTTGGGGTCAAGAACTTCAAAAAAGGAATAGGATCACTGCTTGAGATGGATAGGAAATGCTAATGGACAACAGTGAGAAGATAAAACTACTCAATTCTTTGCTTCTATTTTCTCTATCAAGGAAAACAATCTCTGGATGAGGAATAGAAAAAAATTGCTAACAGGGAGATGAAACACAAGATAGAGATGGGTAACAGAGCCTTTGATGAATTCATGTAATGAATTACATCCCAGGGTATGGAAAGAACTGGCAGAGGTAAGTTTTATGGGCCACTATTAATCTTTGAAAAACTACAGTGAATGGAAAAGGTGCCCTAGTTCTAGAAATAGGCAAATGCCACAGTTTAAAAAAAATTTAGATGATAGATTCTTTAAAATATAGGCCAGCCAGTCTAATTTTAATTTCTGGCAAAAATTCTAGAACATATTATTATTAAAAGAATGGTTTGTGAGTATTCAGAAAGGGAAACAGATGCAGTATACTTGATTTTCAGCAAAGCATTTGATAAAAAAAACTCTCATACTTAATAAATAATAGAGAAATATGTATCACGATAAAGTAATATGTGGCAAAAGAGTAAAGCAGATAGTAGAATTGGTTGAATGATGGGTCTCAAAGTACAGTAATTAATAACTGGTAATAGCCTGGCTGGAAGGAGGACTCTAGTGAAGTATACCAAGGGTTTTCCCTTTGGGTATATGCTGTTCAGTACCTTGTATCAGCTACTTAAATGAAGGCATAGGCTTCCATTATTGAATTTTCAGACACAAAGCTAGGAAGAATAATTAACATGTTAGAGGAAAAAGCCAGAATTCAAAAAGATCTTGACAGGTACAGAATAATGGCCTGATTTTAGTAAGAAAATTTAATAGTTGTAAATGTAAAGTCTTATATTCAGTTTCCAAAAATCAACTCTACAAGTAAAGGTTAAAGGAGAGCAGACAATATACATACATACATACATATATATATATATATATATATATATATATATATATATATATATATATATATACACACACACACACACACACACATATATATATATATACAGATTAAAGTATATTGTTTTCCACTTTTTTCATTTTCCTGCTTTTTTTTAAATAACATAGTCAATATAGAAATGTGTTTTGCATGATTTCAACATGTATAATGGGTATCATATTGCTTGCCTTCTCTTTTTTATTATTTTAAATTTTTTTTCAGATTTTATTAATGTATTTATTTTTAGTTGTCAACACTCACTTCCACAAGATTTTGAGTTCCAAATTTTCTCCCCATCTCGTCCCTCCCAGACCATACTTCATGTGAAAAGGTTTTTTGGTCTTAGAAGACTTTCTATGAGGGTAACCCTTGGCTCATGGGACCAACTGTATGGGACTCTCTTTTCACTGGTGGAGATTGATTCCTCAATGCTCCAAGCCTGTGTGGCTTGAGTGGCAGGCAAAGTTGGTAAGAGCTGGAGATAAAGGACATCCAGGGTCATGGGGCTTCTAGTGCTGAAAGAGAAGACACACTATTCCAAATTCCCTTTAGGGCTCTGGGGAAAGAAAAACTCTGGGAAGAAGCTGACATACAGATGAACTGGCCATCTCTATCATGTCCTTATCCCCAGCTTACTACACTAGAAAATTTGTTGGAATTATTCCATCGGTGAGATCTGGGACTCTCCCTTGATTGAACTAAGTTATCTTTCTCTCAAGGGGAGAGCTCATTCACTCTATACTGTCTAGTATATATTCTTCTCTGTGTATTGTCTCTGATTTTTTTTTTTTGCTACCAATAAATGAGTTAAATGGGTTTATTTGCTATGTGTGTTTATTGTTCAACTGGCATTTGGTGGGGAGTAAAGCCTTGGATGTACAGCTTGGGGCCTTCTTTTCCTGTTAAAGGTTAGAAATAAGGACATAGCTTGGACATAAAAATTACTTCCCCCAGACCAATCATATTTGTGGGAGCTGATAGCCTGGCACCCCCTGTCTCTGAGAAGAGCAGAGTGTCCATATCTTTGGCTTTCCCTCCTGGCAGGAATTAGTCTTCTTTGGAGAAAAGATGGAGGAGAAAATGCTAGAGATATCTATTCTTGCCTCCCTGTAAGTCATGTTTAGACAGACCCATGTGGGCACAAATAACCTACATGGGCAAAAACTAAATATAGTCAATCTGCAACATTCATGTTTAACTTTCACAACTTTAAGCATTTGCATGATTTTATTAGTAACCTCATTTTCACTTTTGCATTGGCAACTCCATACATTTGCAGCTATGTGTAGTAGAGAAAAAAAATGAGAGGAATGATGCATGTAAGTTGGTGGGGTGGCTGGTATCCTACTCTGCACTTCACTGGTCTGGTTCACCCTACCGTTTGTAAAGAGCTTCCCTTACACTTGTTACATATTTTCATTGTTTGCCTTTAAAACTCAAGTTTTTGTTATAATTATGCCCCCAAAGCATAGTGCAAGTCCTTTGAGCTCTAAGCCCAAACATGCAAAGTCAGTGATGGAGCTAGTGAGAAAGTAAAGATGTCAGATAAACTTTATGTTGGAATGTCTACGGCCATTGTTAGCCACGTGTCTGGTGTTAATGAATTGGCAATTTGGTGTACCTACAAAAAAGAGGAAATTATTTATGGTAGTATAGATTACATGTGTTATGAAAAGTGAATATTGCCTGAAATCAATTTTTTTTTATTGAGATGTTAGCACAAAAGGTCACAGAATTCTAGGGAATTATTAGGGAGAAAAATGTTTTGCATGTTACCAATTTTATTTTGTGTACTGTATTTTATGGGTTATTTATGTGTTAGGAAGAGTACATATTATCACAATTAAAGTTTTATTATAAAGAATTATATGCAGAAAAGTGTATTTTTTGGTCACAGGAACATAACCCCCTATTTCCCATAGGTTCAATGTATCAACACTTGCATTTTTTACTTCTGCACCATTTTCTAGGAATATTACCCCTGTGAAAGTTGAGGATTGATTGTAGAAATTAAATACTATCTCCTACACAAATCAACAATGTGTCATGGAAGCTCAAAATAAAGTTAACGGAATCTTAGGCTCTGTCAAGAGGGACACAAGGTCCAGAATAAAAGAGGTGACGTTACTTGGTCAAAGACCATCTGTAAACATATAACTCTTGATAGTTCACTATTTGGGGCATCGGCCTACTCAAGAGTTCTAAGAGAAGCAGTTGCTGCAATTAAGTCTGATTCCGTGATAGTAGTTGCTCTTTTGAACATGACAAGCTGTAGAATACTGGAACAAGTAGAGAATAAGCATACTTTGGAGAACTTTTAGATTAATATCTAGGGAAATTTGGACAATCACCCTGTTCTATGATTATGAGGCGAATATAACTTACTTGATCATAGAAAAATAAGAATTTGGTAACTAATCACAAACTGAGGTGGGGTCATTCACAGAGAAGATCCAGAGTTGGAAATCAGAAAGATAAGAGAAGGGAGAGATTTCAGAACTGAGTTAATGCTGTTATAACTCTATGTATTATCACTTGTTGCTGGGCAGGAATTAGGTAATGGGAGCAGGGGGTATTCTCTACTGCCACTTGTTTCTGAGAAGAAAAAAACAGTAGGGAGAATATACTATACTCTCTTGAAAAGAGATGGCAGAAGAGTCTTCTATCGTCTGTTGTTGCTGAGAGGAGGAGGAGGAGGAGAATACCGCAAGGAAGCCCAGCTGGAGAGCCTTTTGCCAACTTTAGGATAAAGGTTATTGAGCTGTTCTGAGGTGCGATCTTCCTTGGCCCTCCTTGATCAGTGGAGACCCTCTCAGCAGACAAATGCATCTCCTCTTTGGTACAAACCAACTGGGCTGGTGCCTCAGAGTACATAGGAACCGCACCAATGTGGTATTCATACTGGACTTTTCAAGAATCCCTGGTCCTCTGGCCAAATGCATAGACACAACTGAGCATTTACAGCAAAAGAAAAAATAAAAGCCTAAGTAAGAAACAGCTCTATGTACTACTGCTCTGGTGGATCCAAAGGGGACCCAGTTATTCTGCTACCAAGAGTGGTGGACATGGAGTCAGGAGGACCCAAATTCAGATCCCACCTCAGGCACTTACTAGCTCTATGAATTTGAGCAAGTGGTTTTGGGGAGTCCTATGGCAGTGGGCAAGTGTCATTGATCCTGTGAGGGTAATGAGTTCCTTTCTCTTCCCCAGGGAGTTGGATGCAACCCAGTCCATACAAGCAACACTATGCTCTCCCTTCAGGTGAACAGAATGAGAAAGCCTGCCTGGCAGGTGTCTCTGCTGATGGCAGCATTCCCAGGAAGAACACAGTACATACATTGTCTTGTATCTTCCTGATTAAAATGCAGCTTGTAAAAAAAACACAAGATATTGCATTCTATTTTTAAACCAGACCAAGAGTTTCTGTGAAACATAATTTACCTGGTATCTCCCCTCTCTCTAGATGGGAAATTTCTTAGTTCTCTGATATTTTTTTTAAGACAACCACTTGACTTAACCAAAGAAAAACACTAGTCCTAACTTCTTGGGGGGTATACAAGTATCCCCTCCACGTGACTTCTCATGGGGGGTATCATTAGCCCTGATACAATTTTGGGATTAGTACTGGTCAACATTGAACATAATGGAGTTAGTTCTAACAAAGTGATTCTTAAAGTATGTGGTAGACCCAAAGCCAATATAGTTAGTCATCCCAATGGTTTGGATCAGGATTGCAGTAGCCCTGGTGGATAAGAGTGTGTTTTGATTCTCCGGGAGAGCTAGAATGATTCCAGAAATTCTGAATGGTTCATAAGGGTCAAAAATTGTCATGGTTTACTCTAGATCCCCTGGGATTCTCTTGAAATACACTATACCTCTGAGAAACTCCAGAACTGTTCTGTTCTTGAAGGGCCTTTATTTTTTGGGGAGGGGAAATTCTAAGGTCAAACCAGAGCAGACTAATTAGGGGTGACTGTGCTATAATGAATCCCAAAGGCATTACTCTTGACCTTTAAAACAGGCCCCAAGACACCTAATGCCACCTTAATGGTACCAAAAGACCTAGTTATAGATGCAACCAGGCAGCCTATATCTGCCCTTGGTCAAGGGTTGAAAGCTCAGAACCAAAGTTATACAAAATAGGTGGCTGGGTTTTCCAAAGGCCATTTCCTTGCCCATTTCTCCTATTACCAGTCTGTCTTCTTTTCCTTTAGAAATACCTGTTATGACTCTGGCTCCAATAAAGCATCATCAACCCAAGATGACTCACTTGTAGAAGGCTTGGTTTTCTATTCCACATTTCCAGAGATGCTTGCAGGCTTCTGGTGTAGGAGCAAAATATGTAAGAACAATTTTCTTTTCCTACAACAAAAATTCCACATAGAAACAACTGAGTGTGGAGGAAAGCAAATGGGCAAGGTGGACCAGGACATTTAGGGGAAAGGTCAAAATTTAGGTGAATCTAGAGAATCAATATCAGTCTGTCTTAATGGCCAGAAACCAAACCAGAGTTTTCAGTCCTTGGCCAACAAGGAGCCAAGGTGAATTGCTTGTAGAAGATTCTGTGTTTTGGGCTCCAGAAAAGAAATAAAATAATTCCCCTGTAGTATAGAAGACCTTGTACTAAGGATCTTCTGTAGCAAGCCTCGGGGTGTTATCAGCAAAACCAGTGAGGGTACACAGCATACAAATCTCTACGTCTAGCCCCAGAAACCCCATGTTGGTGCTAGGACTCAGTTTTACCATGTAGGGACCACTTGGCTTGTACAATCCAGGCTAGTTTCAGCCACCCCAGCTTCCAAACCCTTCCTGAAGAGAAAGAAGAAGCCACTCACCTCTTTCTGACTTACATATAAATAGAAAGTTTTTCCTTCAAATTTCAGCTTGGTCACCTCATTCCTACAAGAATAAGGAGAGCACCTGTCACCAGCCTGACAGGTGAACCTTGTGGAGACAGAGCCTGCCTATACTGGAGGAGCATCCAGGCACAGACACAATTTTAGCCAAATTCAGAACTGAAACAAGACAGCAGCGCAGTGTGTTTAAAGGAACAGTTACTGGAACAGTTTCAATCCACAGTTTTCTGTTCAACCAAAGTGTAAGGGATGGGGGGAGGGGTAGAGAAGGATTTCAGGCTCAACAACAGTGGCTGTAAAAGGGAAACATCTCTGGATGGAAAGTGGTTCTTGGTGGAGTGTCCAGGGGTCATTGCAGGACTTGGTTCATAACACAGGTGCATTATATCTGGATGAGGATATCAAATGTCAGATGCCACAGTTAGCTGATGAGGCCAGAGTTCCAAATACAGCAAATAATGACAAAACAGGGCCACCAGGCTCTGAGCGAGCTGCTTCTGTCAGGTGACTGTGCCACTGGATGGAAAATGCAGTTTAATGCAGACACATGTAAAACAATCAATCCGGGTAGGGAGGGGACCACAAACCAGAGAGAGAGAGAAAGAGAGAGAGAGAGACAGAGAGAGAGAGAGAGAGAGTACAGATTACATGGAACAGTCATGCAGAGTACTGACCGGGAAAGGGGTTTAGGGGCTATTGTAGAAAAATCCTTGGAGCCATCAGCCCAGTGTATGGCTGCAGTGAAAAAGGCAAACAGGATACTGGGGCACATCACCGGTGGGACGCAATACACATCAAAAGAAGTAATACGATTACTGTACATTAAATGATCCAGACCTCATATTCAAATACTGTTCTCAGTTTGGCTTACTTAATTTTATTTAATTTTTTATTATTTTAAAATTTTCAATCAATTAATTATTTATTCTTTAGTTTGGCTTACTTTAGCAAAGGGGGAAAAGAGTGCCATAGCTCTAGAAGTGGGTGCCAGGGAGTGTGATGGAAGCTAAATTGAGGAATCCAGCTGCTTCTCATTCCCTGCTACACCACATGCATCCCTATGCTTTCCTATTACAGCTGTCTTCCTGAACTGAGTTGTGTGTTTTCTGCTATCTGGGACCTTATCGTCCAGCTACTCAGATCCTCTATGGACTAATTCCACACAAAGAACTTAATTCACTGGCTTCTTGCTCCCTGTAATCTGTAGAGAGATTTCTACTGATTCTTTCCAGACGCACCCTTGACACCCTAAGAACCAAAGGGTACGGGAAAAGAAAAGATGAGAACAATGCACCTATTTTGCAGAGGGAAAAAATCTGAGGGATATAGAGAGGGGTATTATTGTTCACTGTTGTCCAATCATGGACTAGACCAGGAGTATAACTCAGAGCATCTGCCCATCAGCTTTGCTGTGAGACTCTCTGAGCCTTACTATGCTGCTTTTCTGTTTCTCATTTTCTTTCTTGCTCTCGTACACACGAGGTCAGTGGTAACTGACTGATTTATAGACAAATACACTGGTCACCAGTCACAAAAGAAGATAAAAGGATCTCTGTCTTCGAAGTGAGGCTACTAACCCTCATCGGTTAGTGACAAAGTGACATCTACTAACTAGGTGAGGGAGACGGAAGATGCTGGGATTATCCTCCTTGGAGGAAGCAGGGATGGAGAACGGGTTATCTGAGGGATTCCAAATTCAGGAGCGAACAACACTGCTTCTGAGGATCTGGGAATAATTTAGGGAAGGGAAGCCCCTTCTTCAAGTGGTCTGCTTGTTTTAATTTGAGACCCCTTAAGCTAGGACTCTAGGAAGGCAGTGTGGTATAGTGGATGGAGCAGTGGACTTGGAATCAGGAGGATCTGAGTTCAAATTCCACTCGAGACATTTACTAGATATACAAGAGCTGGGGAAAGTCACTTAAGGTCTCTCAGCCTCAGCTTGTTCACCTGTAAAATGAGGATGATACCAGCACTATCTTAAACTATTGTTGTGAGGAGCGAATGACATGACATTTGTAAAGTGCCTTGCAAACTTTAAAATGCCATAATATAATCTAGTCTGCAGAGCTGGAACTTACATTTTCCATCAAAACTACATAATCCAAAGGCATTCAAGCAGGGAGTTGCTCCCTCCATCAGGAAAGCTGAAGCCTTGCCTATGCTCTAAATATAGACCCTGAGGTATGTCCCGAAGGACCTTCATACCCACAGGAATAGGGCTCATTCTCTGCCTTGAAAAAAGTCTCCCTTTGTTTGAGCAGAAACCCTGACCTCTCGCCATGCTCGCTCAAAAGAAGGAAGCAGGCAATGGTTTTGTGTACACAGGTTCCGGGCCTCTGCATGTGAACATCCTGCCCTGGGGAACGGGAGAGCAGGCTGGCAGAGAGCAGAGAAATGATTTGGTGGGTGCTCAGAGCTGTCCATCAGGTTTCTATCATTCAGTGGAAAGAAGGTGCATCACCTTTTCACTGGAGGGCAGTGCTGAGGGGGCTTAGTGGTCTAGCCTTTATAATAATGCAAGAGAATACCCGCTAGGTTCAAGTTTCCCACAAGCTATTTAGTAGACTGAAAAGGACAGCAAACTGAGGAATGGACTGCCTGGGCGTGGCTCTGCTTGCTTTCTGTGCTCACTTTTTTTTTAAATTTTATTTATTTATTGCAAGGCAATCAGGGTTAAGTGACTTGCCTATGATCACACAGCTAATAAGTGTCAAGTGTTGGAAGGCAGATGTGAACTCAGGTCCTCCTGACTCCAGGGCCGGTGTTCTATCCACTGCACCACCTAGATGCCTCCTGTGCTCACTCTTAAAGCTTGCCTACTGACTCCCTTGTGTAGGCTGAGAAGCAGGAAGAGGCCATGCAGAGTATGGCTAATCAGCACGGGACCACACCCTGATGAGGTGGAGAGAAGGCAGCTGCATGGTGTTCCTGGGGAAAAGCCCATGTGGCATCACAGGGCTGGGGACCTGCCACCATAATAAGGCAGAATCTGACCCCTGTCAGCCCCCAGGAGCCAGACACAGGAACGAAGACACACAAAAGAGCTGAAGAGAGTGGTCAGCCCCAGAGGCACGGAGAACTGGGAGGTGGGTGCTTCACTGGGGCCACAACTGAGGCAGCAGCAGTAAGGCTGGGGGTGATGGTCATTCTGAGGGAAGGAATGTAGCCTTCTAGGGACCAAGCAGAGTGAGCTTCAGAGAAGCCCATCTGCAACAGAGCTAAAATTGGGACAGGAGCCCCCACCAGGCCCCTCTCCTTAAGGAATCAGAGCTACAGATCTAGGGGTGGAAGTGGAGTTTTTGGCAGGGGCAATGGGGAAGCTTCTGCCTGTACAAAAAGTCAGCACCCTGCTCCCATCTGGCTCAGATCTCCTTCACTGGTTAGGAGTTTGGGTGAGGGAGTTAGGGACCTGCCTGCTGAGACAGGCCAGACTGGCCTATTAAGTTAAGTCACTTAATTGTAGCTGTGGCCTCAAAGAGAGACAATTCCCAAAGCTCCTGGTTCTCTCTATAGTTTCATTGCTATAAAGGATATTGTGGACCTCCTGTGACTCTCTCTTGCTTTCTCTATTCTTAGCTTCAGCCTCCCCTTCCTTCTTCCCCATTAGTGACCTAGACAAACCTTCATATCTGATTGGGGTCCCAGGGCCCAGGTTCAGACGTCCAGCTCATTCTAGCAGCTTCATACCCCGTCTGTCTCTAGTGAAACTGGCCCTAGGCAAATCTCTTTTGGAGGAATCAGACTTCCTCATGAGACCGTGGCCTAAAAATGTTACATCTGTGAAAACCACTTTGGAGAATGATCTGAATCATTTCTGGCCCTCCACAGGGAAAGGAGACAGGTGCCGGGGGCCCCCTCCCCTGCTGCTGAGATTGGAAGACCCTATTTGGGAATGATAAACACTCACCATTTTATGAAGTGAACCCTCTTGTTGCCTTGCAGAACCACAAACCCAAAGGGAGTGAAGGCCAGAAATGCAGCATTCCCTGACACATCCTGAAACACAATGAAACCTTTTGTTATCATGGTGATGCGGGCTTTGTGGATGGCCACGACATCCTCCCGGAGATAAGGCAGGGCAGACAGAGGCAGCTGTCTGCATCCAGAAAAAGAACTGATAAACAGGAGTATATATGCAGAATAATTTTACACCCCCCCCATTTGTGTGTAATGGTAGCCATGGGGGGGGGAAGAAAAAAAGGAAAAGAAAAAGAAATTTACGTGATAACTTTGTTGTATATTTGGAGGGCACAGCAAGTTTTACATGGTAGGTTTGTGGTTTCGTGTGCTATCATCTTTTTTTTTATTTTTTTATTGTACTGGGCTATGGAAATGCTTGTTTTGTTCCATGGATTGAAAATAAAATAAATTAAAAAAAAAAAAGAAATGTGGCAATGTGGGGCCCTCATGGGCTTGGACTCTTTCAGCAATGTTCAGCAGCAGACAGAAGAATAAGCCAATGAATCCAGCAGACGCTCAAGGTGGAGGTGGAGAGGATAGTGGTGCCCTCACGCTAGGGCAATACCAGGTAGGGGGCTGGGTGATCCTTTGGTGGTCCTGGGGCAGGGGCAGTCTTGAAGGTTATGTTTGCTGGTCAGTTCACGTGACATGTCACGGTGAGGCTACTGGGGGTCTGGTGAAGGAGGTGGGGGCATTGATCAGAAACTCATTCCAGGAACCAGGATTTCTATGAGGCTTCACAGCACCATGTGGGACTACAGGTAAGTGACCTTACTCAGTCTCAGCTATATCATCTGTAAAATGGGGATGACATTCATAGTAGCTTCCTCCCAGGGGTGGTTGTTATAAGGCTCAGACAAGATAATGTGCATAAAGTGCTTTACAAACTTTAAAGCATTATATAAATGTCAGCTCGGATGATATGGGGGCTTTCACCAATGACTATAGTCTGGTCCGATAGAAATTCATTCAATAATGTTTATTAATCACCTACTACATGCAGGGAGGTGTTATGTGGGCCAGTGGCCAGAAAACCCCCAAATAAGGAGACAGGGATCATGAAGCTCCGAGCTTAGAGGGCCACAGCTGTTCTTAATGCTCACTCAGAGGTGGCATCTCTGGTTAATGTGACTTGGCAACGTAATGGAAAGAATACCAGGCTTGGAAGATATGAGTTCAAATCCTGCCTCTGATACTAGTTGTGTGACTTGCCTTGGGCAAATCACCTCACTGCTGTTTGCCTCAGTTTATTCATCTGTAAAACGGGTATAACTTACATCACAGGGTTACTCTGAGAATCAACTCAAACGTGATGCCACGTACAAAGAACTTTACAAATCCTAAAGCCACAATATGAATGTTAGCTATTATTACTTTATTCCACATGGAGTGTTACACCTGGTCAGTCACAGGAGCCATAAGGGACTCTGGCTAGAACCCACAATCATTCTTCTTTGGGAATTCCCCACGGGTTCCTTCTCTCCAGTAGAATACAGCTTCACTTTGAAACTCTGCCATGCACAGGCAAGACCACGAGCGTGGCTGTCTGGGCCTGCTGGATGAACTAAATGTATGGTTTTCAGGTATCAGATAACAAGCTATTATTGCCATTAACCCTCTTATTTGATTACATATACAATCAGGGTTCACTGTGACCCAATCACCGGGCCACCAGCAAAGCAGTATTCAGCCCATGGGTACATCAAGGAGCTGAGTCTGTGATCACTTTGTGATGGAATAAATCTAAAAGCTTCTTGTTGCTTCAAATAACCTGAATAAAAACTTGGAAAGCCACAGGGCTGGATTTTCCTTCCAATTATTATCACTTGTGGTTGCTGTTATCAATATCTATGTACTAGCTCCTGTTGAAGAGGCATCTGACCTAAACATAATCCTGGAAGAGTAGAGAAGGCAGTGTGGTCTAGTGGATAATGCTGGACCTGGGTGTCAGAAAGATCTGGGTTTGAATCCTACCTCAGCCACTTATTAGATGTGTGATCCTGAGCAAATCACTTAACAGCTCTCAGCCTCAGTTTATGTATCTGTAAAATGATGAGTTTAGACTCACTGATCTCTGAGGTCCCTTCCAGCCCTAAATATTTGATCCCATGACATGAGATATGGGTCGGGGGGGGAGCATCTGGGTGAGGAGTAGAAATTAGGGAGCAGAGGTTTCCTAGGTATAGCTTGGTCAGCAAATTTTTCCTTAAAAGGAACAACCCTCTGGGATAGATGGGGGCTCAAGAAGTGCTTCCTGGGAGAAATCAGACTTAGGTAAAGCTCTGATCTAGGGAAACAAGCTTTACGTGAGGACCCAGAAGGTAAAGGCTATGCTCACAGCGAACAGGAATGCAGAAGAAGGAACTATAGTGAGCAGCAAATGGGTTTGGAAGAACTTGAACCCAAGCCCTCTCATCCCAGAACCAGAACCTCTTTCTACTGAGCCACAGCCGGGAGAAAGGTGCACGTAGCTTGTCTTTCCATCTGGTGACTGTCCTTGAGATGCTGAGGGACCACTAGCTGCTGGCACTAGATGAGCTCCCCACAAATGTAAATGCCTTTGGGAAAAGACTGCTGTTTTTCCTTTTAATTTTGCTTGCTGAGAGAACAGAAGAATGGAAAGCTAAGGTTGCAGGTGCACGGAAAGTAGTCATGATTCTGAGTGATGGAAGGTGGGGAGGGGATTTGTCCAGGAAAACCTGAGAGGCCTAGAATGGAACGGAGCCATGAGGGTGGAACATTATGAAATTCATTTTTACAATAGCATTATGATAAAATCACAGAATTAAGAGCTAGATCTAAGTGGTTATCTAATCCAGCTTCTTCATTTTACAGTTGAGGAAACTGAGGCCTAGAGAGGTTAAGGGACTTGTCCAAAGTCACATGCAAAGTTCAAATCCTGTGCTCTCACAATAGTACCACACGACCTCCTATCTTAAAACCTACATGCAGTATAAGAAAAAATATAAAATTGCGGGGTTGGGTTAGGGAAGGCATTTTAAGATAGGAGATAATAGCCACATAATTTTTAATATATACTAGTGCAGGAATGGGATGTGTGTATACATAAATATAAATATATAATATGTGTTATAATATATATTTAAATATATATTGTTGTTCGGTCATTCAGTAATGTCCAACTCTTTGTGACCCCGTATGAGGTTTTCTTGGCAAAGCCACTGGAGTGGTTTGCCATCTCCTTTTCCAAGTGGGTTAAGGTAAATGGAGGTTAAGAAATTTGCCCAGGGTCACAGATCTAGTGTGTCTGAGGCCAGATTTGAACTTAGGCCTTCCTGATTCCAGGCCTAGCGCTATATTCACTGAGCCATCCTGCTGCCTCATATACGTGTGTATGCACATATATACACACATACACATGCATACATATATATATGTATATATATACACATACATACACATATATAGTATCACATAGTACATGTACTATATATATATTTAATATATATACATGTACTATTATAATCTCTTAACTGTAGTTCTCCCTATATCTTAGGCACAGTCACCAAACAGGAGAAGCACAAGTCATTGAGAGAAAGCCATCAGACATGGTACAGGAGTTCATCTTCCTGATCAAAGAGACCGAATCTCTAGCAAGGGGTTCAAACTCAGATTAGTTTCAAATTCATTTTTGTGAGACAAAGGTGAATGGTCACAAACCACACGCCTCTGATCAACCTTAAGGCTCTCTCACACAAAGAGTGACACATCACCTAACTATATTCAAGCCTTGAATCCAACAGACTGGAGAGAAAGGAGTGAGATCTGGGCTATAAATAGGCAGCCCACAGCAGAATGGAACATAGTCGCTGTTTTATCTCCGTCATGGAGAGCTCAGCGTTAAAAGGTTTCCAGGTTCAGGCTTTATATTCAGGAGGTGACATTCCCTGGGTTTTCAGGTGCTCTCTCAAGAGCTAAACACTCTTGCCCTAGCTGTTGCTGGCTTGACATGGTGGGGGAGAGGACAAAGGAGAGAGCGGGGACGCACACTCAGTGGCCATCACCGGGGGTGCCCAGATCCCATTTCTGTAGAAACTAAAAATGAGAAAAAGTCACATGCGCCCCCCTGACAGATCCAGTGTCCCATATTGGGTACCTCAGCCAAAAGTCAATCTTGTTCTATGAGAGTTGTAGCACTTTCCTCAACTTCCTCTGGCCTAGACAAGGACAACATGGGCAGAAAAAGTCAGTGTGATCAGGATGGGCAACTGTTTCTTAATCAGCTTGAGAGAAGAGAGCTCAGCCAAAATGTTGTTCTGCTCTCATTTAATTATCAAAACGATTCCTCTTCTTCTGCCTTCCCTAGGGCCGCATGCCCCAGATTCCCTGGGCCCAGTAATTGCCTCTCTGTTAATAGAAATCATCTGTATTTATTACACAAAGTGCTAGGGCTTGTTCCAGCTCTCCTTGCAGCAAAATAAAAGTGCGTATGAGAAGGCACATTGTAAGAGGGGCTCTAGTGAGTGATGAGACCAAGTTTGCTGCTACTCATCTCTTACACTCAACAGTACAAGGGTAGGGGAACCATACATCTGGGGGCTCAATGTGAAGAGCACAGGGGTGGGGGCCATGTGAGAGATGAGCAGGAGTCTAGAAATACTAATTTATGGGCACTTAGAATTCCTACTAGCTAAACAAGGTGGGCAGAGACCATAGCTATATTCAAAGGAAAGGGAGCCAAGAGTTACGTACCCTAGTCCGTAGAGTAATAGTCTCCAGTGGGATTTGGGCCAGTGTAGCCACACATCATTCTCTTGCTCTCTCTCTCTCTCTCTCTCTCTCTCTCTCTCTCTCTCTGGCTTGCCCAGGGTCACACAGCTAGTAAGTGTTATATGTCTGAGGCTGGATTTGAACTCAGGTCCTCCTGACTCCAGGGCCGGTGCTCTATCCACTGCGCCATCTAGCTGCCCACACATTATTCTCTACCAGCTGATGGGCATCTCTGAGCCCATGTGGTATGGCGCCAAGATGTGACAGAACAGAGCAGGGAGCTCAGATAACCTTAGTGGGAATTATACTATCACCAGCACCAATAACTTCCGAGTCAGGTACACATAGTATTAATTAATGAATGAAAAAGAATTGAAGTATTTAAGAGCATTTATGAAAGTATTTATTAATTTATTATGAATTAATGAATGAAAAAGCATTTTAAAGTGCCTACTGTGTGCCAAGCATCGTGATACGTGCTGGGGACAGAAGCAGAAGAACCAAGTACAACCTGCCTCTTTTAACTGAGTTCAGTGGTTTGTCCTTGGATGGACAAACATCTGGGTGGGTTTATTCCTCATCCTCCAAATGTAACCAAATAAAAAAAGAATCTTCCCCATTCCTGTCTCTCTCTGCAGTGTGGCCTGCAGTGAAGTCCTGAGATGATGCGGGCCCCTTCCATGGACCAAACCAATCCTTCAAGACAGTGGTGTCAAACTCAATAGAAATGGAGGGTGCATATTGACTCAGAAAACCACATCATCTACGTTTTACTGTATTTTTATTTATTTTGTTAAATATTTTCCTAATTACATTTTAATCCGGTCTTAGCCAGACTCTTTCTGGCTGGACCACGAATTTGACGCCTCTGCTCTAAGAGGTGGCCTTTGAAAGACCGTTAAACTGCTGAGGGCACCATTGTGGAAAGAGAGATGAGGAAAACCTGGGCTCAAGTCCTGTCTCTGACACATACTAGTGACGTGATCCTGGGCAAATCACTTAACCTGGAAGTGGTCAGGCAACTTTCTAAGGCTGCAGGCCTCAGAAATGCTTTAATAGAGGAGATTTCTACATCAGGAGTTCCCCAATAAGGATGAAATCATAGGCCCCTATCACTTATAATGACAGTTGCTATTTACCAACCCTACCTTGCCTTCCTCCTTTCACCCCTCCCTAGGCTCAGGGCAGTCCCAGAATTCAGAGCCATCACCACACACTAGGAGGACCCTACTCCCTTGCCCTTCTGCCCTCAACTTCTCCTCCAGCCCCAGGCTACCTAAGAACCCATCCTAGACATTCAGGCACTGAGTGGGAAGAGCCATCATGACCTGCCTCCCCACCTGCCCCAGCCTGGGCTGTATCAGAACCCACCCTGATGATCAGGTGGGAAGAATGACACTACTGGGGGTGCCCAACTCCTTACCCCTATCCACTTGCCTTGGTGGCCAACAATTCCATTCTTTTGGATGAGATGGAGAACATCACCACGTGCCTGCTGCTGCCTTTAAGATCCTCCAGATCTTCCTCTTTGCCTTACCTTATGTCATGAAGTTTCCCAGTACTGGCATCTTAAACAGTAATTTAAGGACCTCTGGGCCTTGCAACTGTACCCTCGGGACTTTCAGGCCATTCTCTTTGCCCTACAGCTAAACTTTCAAACACTGTCTCTCTCAATTAGAATATGAGCTTGTTAAGACAGGGACTGTCTAGCTTCATCTATTTCTATCCCCAGCACTTATCACGATGCTTGGCACACAGTAGGCACTTAACAAATACTTTTTAATTCTTTAATTCATAATAAATTAACAAATGCTTTTTAATTAATACATACTTTTATAAATACTTTAATAATTTTTCATTCATTAATTAAAAATGTGCAATTTTTTTTTTTTGCTACTTGACTCATAATACCCTACACAAATTATTTTTGGTGTAAGTATGTTGGTGTGCACATCTTTTAGACCTGGGGGGTCCAGAAGAACAAAATGTGCTGCTGCTAGATAAGGAAATATACTTATAAATCACATAGCTAATAAGTGTTTGAGGTGGGATTAGTGCCTTTAGGCCTAAATCCCACCTCAAGCATTAACTAGCTGTGTGACCTGGGCAAGTCACTTAAATCCCTCTGGCCTCAGTTTCCTTATCTATAAATTGAGGGGAGTGGCCGCTTCCAGCTCTAAATCTATGTGTTCATCAGGGACAAAGTCATGCTCTTTGAGCATCTCAGTGAGACTTTTCCCCTCTATGAGTAAAGACACACATCCCTTCCCTGTGTTAGTGAAGACATACATTCCTTCAATTTATTACCCAGCTTATGGTTTTTAATGTGAGCTTCTCCTGCCTTGCAGAGACTCGGCCCTAGAGCCAGTGACAGAATAAAAGAGGCAGAAACTAGGAGAGACAGAGCAACCCAGAGACGCAGGTAGAGAGGTGGGAAGACGACCAAGATACTTGGGAGAGATCCTTGGAGAGTATGCACATCTTTCCAGCTTTCAGGGAGGGACTCTGGCTGCCCAAGTTCATCTCCAAAAGGCCAGACAACATGTGAGTAATTACAGGTTTCCTCTGGGCAGAGCCCTCCAAGGCTGGCTTCTCATCTCTTCCTCAAAGACGCCTAATGGAATTAAATGTGACCCCATTGCAGTTCCACGCAGTGACTTACGCTGCTGCAGTCAATAAAACCCACGCTGGGAAGGAAACAAGATTATGGGTCAGGGAAGAGTGGGCAGTCTGCTGAGCTGCCTCCGATTAGTACCTGTCGCACTCCCTCACACATTACTGCCCTTTTCACTTCCACCAAATTACACATCACTGCCGTAGTGGAGAGTCATCTTTAAATTTGTTATTTAGATCAACTGCTTCAAAGGCTCCCAAATTGATGTGGCATCCCCCAAGTTATGCAGATGACTGGGTCAGGAGAAATTTTCAGAATGAGATATTGTCTTTTGGTGGGGGCAAGAACTCATGGGTTAGGCCTTGAAGGAGGTAGGGGGCTGTCCTTGATGATGTCAGAAATATGTGGGGGAGTGGGATGATGGTGCTGATGGAGAGGGACGGTCTAACAGGACAGAGACAAGAAGGGGCTTTGCTAATCACCCTTAAAATGAGGAGCCTGTGAATAAGAACAGTCCTAGGTCAAGGGGCAGTTTTACCTTGCACGGGTGAGGATCAACTCCATAGGTTTCCAAAGTCTGGGCTTTTCTCAAAAAATTTAACTCTGACGTTGCTGGTGTCTGACCACTGGAATAAAGAAAAACAAATAAACAAAAAGGCTAGTTATCAAATTTTATTGTTTGTTGAGGCAGATTCACTTTTAAAAGAAATGCTTAGAAGTCAAATGTTTAATTTCTTCTTCGAAAGAACTTTAGGAACTCTTCCTTATGAGAGTTAGGCCATTTCAGAAGTAACACTTAGCAGCCTGGGCATCCCACTGGGGTTATCCACGGCCCTTACCTTCCCACCAATGAGAAGTACAAGTGTGTTTGGCTAAGAGATAGCCTTCTGAACAAAAGACAATCAATAAAAATGTATTTTTACAACAGATCTCCTTCAATGCTTTGCCTTCTTAGACCCCAAATACGTTCTCATGCAACCTAACACGTTTGTTCTGATTCACTTGCTTACCAGTTACGTGACTCCAAACAAATACCTTAACTTCTATGGGCCTCAGTTTCCTCATCTGTAAAATGAGGGACCATGGATTGGCTGGAGTAAACGGCTTCTAAAGTCCTCTTGAGTTCTACATCTATCTAGGAGCCTATTTTTCAGGGGATGTCTATGAAAAGGTGCCTGAAAACAACCATTAGGATACAATTCAATGTGCCTATGGACAATTCCATAAGGATGGTGTTTTTTAGCTGGAGTGTTGATGTCAAAAACTATGGTGATCTTGAGTATAGTCTAAACTAGAAAGACATTCTTCTTTAGCAAGGTCAGAATCCCTAGAATGACACTCATGGCATAAACCAACTCTGGCAGTGGGCACACAAACAAAATAACACAAACACAAGTAACTTTTTTGGTTGTCTTTGTATCTTCAATTTTGAGCCTGGCAAATGTTGTTGTCGAGTTATTTCAGTCGTGTCCAACTCTTTGTGACCCCATTTGGAGTTTTCTTGGCAAAGATACTAAAGTGTTTTGCCATTTCCTTCTCCAGCTCCTTTTCCAGATGAGGAAACTGAGGCAAACAGGGTTAAGTGACTTGCTCAGGGTTACCCAGCTAGCAAGTGTCTAAGGATCAAATTTGAACTCAGGTCTTCCTGACTCCAGGTCTGGCTTTCTGTTTACTGAGTCACCCAGCCTGGCAAATAGTGGTGCATAGCAAAGCTTGTGTGTGTATGTATGTGTGTGTGTGTAATTATTTATACGTATTTTACATTTATACATATTTTAAATTATTTATTTTTAACATTCTTTTAAAAAAATTGACTTCCAAATTCTCTCCCTTCCCCCCATTAAGAAGGCAAGCAATATGATATCAATTATACATGTGAAATCATACAAAACATATTCCCATATTAGCCATATCACAGAAATGCAAGAAAAATAAAGTGAGAAGATTATTCTTCAATTTGCAATCAGAGTTCATCAGTTTCTCTCTTTGGGAGTGGATAGTATTTTTTCATCATGATTCCTCTGGAATTCTCTTGGATCATTATATTGATCAGAGTAGCTAAGGCTTTCATAGTTGTTCATCATTACCATATTGCTATTACTGTATATAGTAATCTCCTCATTTCACTTTGCACCAGTTCGTATACATCCTCCCATGTTCTTTCTGAAACCACCCTCCTCATCATTTCTTATAACACAATAATACTCCATCCCAATCATATGTCACATCTTGCTCGACTATTCCCCAATTGATGAGCATCCCCTCAATTTTCAGTTCTTTGCAACCACAAAAAGAGCTGCTATACACGTTTTTGTACATATAGGTCCTTTTCCTTTTTCCTTTGATCTCTTTGGGGCACAGACCTAGGAGTGGTATAGTGATGGGTCAAAGGGTAGGTGTATAATAAATCTTGTTGATTAACTGATACCATAACACAACATGTCAGAAAACTGAATTTTTAATAAGAATAAGATCCTTACACCACAGGCATTTCTAATGGCTGATGGGCAGGACAAAAAGCAGCTCATTTTTAAGTTTCTTATCTACCTCAAATAACACAGCAGGTCAACAGATAAATGCTCTGAAATATGCCCAGATTTCGGTAGGATTCCCTTTTGAGTAGGGCAGAGACCATGTTCTTTTCTTCAATCAATCAGGCAACAAACAGATCAAGAGACTATTATGTGTGAGCCACTGTACCACAGGGACTGCGGAGAGGAGGCAATGAAGCAGACAAGAGCAGGGACTGTGTAACTTGTGACTTTGTCCTCTCGCTGCCTGGCACCCAGTGGGCCTTTGACAAATGCTTGGTGACTCGGTGATGTAAAGATCTACCAAAGACAAGACGGGCCATGTATGATCGATGCCAAATCAAGTTTCCACTCTGGTCCATCTTCTCCCTATCCCAGGCTATCCTCCACTTAACTGTCAAATAGATCTCCCCAAAGTGACTATGTCACTTCCCCATTCAATACACTCAGTGGCTCCCCAGCACCACCAGCATCAGAGACAAAATCTTCTGCTTCTACCATTCCATTCTTACTCTTTAACTCCCCTCCATATACTATGCCATCTGGTGACACTGGCTTCCTTCTGTTCCTAGAACAAGACATTCCATTTCTGGACACTGGCTGTCCCCTATGTCTGGAACTCTCTCCCTCCTGGTTCCTTCACGTCTCAGCCAAAATCCTACCTTCTACAAGAAATTTTTCCTGATCCCCTGTACTGCTAGTGACTTCACTTCGCTGCTTATCTCCAATTCATCCCTTATGTATCTGATTGCAAGTTGTCTCCCTCATTACATTATGAGCAATTTGAGAACAGGGACTCTCTTTTGCCTTTCTTTGCATCTCTTAGTGCTCAGCACATAGTAGGTGCTTAATAATGTAGGCTGATTGACTGGCTGAAATGAGTGGTTAAATAATAATCATTAACAAGACTTAGAGGAAGGAGCTATCGTGACTTTTTTATATTCCTCACAATATTGAATATAGTGATACTCACACAGTAGGTATTCAGTTGAAGTTGTTGAACTACACACGGTTGTTTGTTGAACTAAGCTGTTGAGTTATGTTACTTTGAATTATCAGACTGGGCACCAGGGGGTGCTGGTACACTAGATACTATTTTTGTGGATTCTCCTTTTGTGGTAGATCTCACAAGGCTAGAAAATCTGGCTGATTAGGACTGAGGCCTTTCTGACAAGCACCCTGCCTGTTGTCTGGCTGCTACCACTGACTCTGAAGGATGGTGACTTTCCCAACCTTCCTCCCCACCCCCAATCCTGCTCTAATTGGTACCAGTACCAGGGGATTCCCCAACAATGGGCCTCATTTACTGGGTCAGTATGGAACTGACCTCAGTGGCTATGGCATCTGAAAATACGCATGACTGGTTACCCAGTGCCCTGAGTCCCACCAAGCATTGTTCCATTGTTATATATTTCTATGCTTGTGCTTCATACACTTTTGTTGAATTGAGTTTATTTTCTTCCTACATCCAAGTCAAGCTGAAAGCTATCTAAGAGCCTACTTTATGCTCTGACCTTTAACACAAGGTCTCATTTCGGTCCCAGCAAAATGAAGGAAGTCACTGTATAGAGGCTGATGAGCAGTAATGAGAAGTGTCATTGGAGAAATATGGCTCTAGACCCTGTTGCACATAGAAGGGTCTAAGGAAAAAGGTAAGGGACCCTTTCTGAGATAGTTGCCTGCAGTGATCAGAATTGAACTGAAAACCACTGAGCAGAGGTTTTTATTTTGAAGGGGATCTAAGCTTAGGATAGTTATTAATATTCCTTCTCCCTTTTTTCTTCATAAACGGTTAAAGAGAGGATCCACAGTCCTAGCTCTGGATTCTTAAGGAATGCGGTAGACTCTGAGTATGGGGGAAGAGGGCACCGTGGTACAATGGACTGCTAGAACCTGACTCCTAGAGCCTGAGTTTCAATCCAGGTTCTGCTGCTTATTTCCTGTATGTGTGTGTCACCTTGGACAAAGTCGTTTAACTTCTATGGGCTTCAGTTTCCTCATCTGTAAAATGAGAAGGAGAACTAGATGACCTCTAAGGTCAGCAGCTGTAGAAAAGCGTGGGTTGCTGGGAAGACGCAGTCTTCGAAACAAGACAGCATCCTATAGGAGACCTAACCACACCTGTCAATCAGCTCTAGCCCTGAGCCCTCACATCTGGTTATACAAAAGCCAGCTGTCACAAACTATTAATAAAATGAAACAGCTTTGCCCATAACTGTTCCGTTTCCTTTTCAACTTTTCTCTTCTTTTCATCTTATATGTCTTTTCCCCCTTTCTTCCTTTCTCTATCCTTTCTTTTCCCTCTCCCTGTCTTTACTCCTGTGGCTCCATTTCTCTTAGCCAAGCAAATGGTCACATGTCAGTCTCTCTCCACTCTCTTTTCCCTAAACTTTCCCCCAAAGAAATCCTAAACAAAACTTGAACACAATCTCTTGGTCAGACCCCAAATAAAAACAGATTTTAAATTCTGTGTTGGGGAAAGTACTTACTAAGTCTATGGTGTGTTAAAAGGATTTTGGTATTGGAATCACAGTTCATCCCAGCTCTGCCATTTTGCTACCTGTGTGATGCTGGGCCATTTACTCAGCATCTACGGGTCTCAGATGCCTCATCTGCAAAATAAGGGTGTGAGACTAGAGCCATAAGGTACCTTTTAACACTAAGCCTATAATTGTACGTAAAGTTTCAAGATACGTCACAAAGAGCAGATGGTTGTTAACCAGTGTTTATATCTCTGGGCAGCCTGGAAGAGAACAACACTTACTACAGGGTGAAAAAATGAGCTCTGGTTAGCTCAGTCACAGTGTCTTGGACCACGACCACATATATTACACACCTGAGTTCAGTTTTGTGGATCTCGGCAATTTTCCTTTCCAGCTTCTCTGAATGTTTAGGGAAAAATTGGAACTTGGAGCTGTAGCCCTCTGGATGCTTTCCGGGGTCATAATCCCCAATCTCGGCTTCAAAAACAAACAATGGAGGCATGAGGGGGAAGGAGAAGGTAGAGAAAAGAAAATCATCAGTTTGAAATGGAAGAGAAAGTAGCAAAGGAATTAAATATCAAGCACCCAGGACAAAACACTGATCATGAAAGCACAAATGAGATTAATAAACAGCAGTAGCTCCCAAAAGCAGCTGAGGGTCTAGCAGGGAAAGGAAGAAAGGAGAAGCAAAGGTGCTGGCCCGCCGCCTTTCATTAGCAGTGCAGAATTTTCATGCTCAGATCTGTTAAGTGGACTGCCAGCAGAGACAAGACTATTTTGAGATCCAAAGCAACATATAAGTTCATAAATGAGCTGAAACTCAACCTTGGAACCCAAGTGTTGGTCTAAGTCAAATAAAATTAAACGAACTCTTGTTGCACACCTACTGTGCATAAAGTAGAGCTGTCTGAATGTTCAAGGAGAAAGTAAAACAGTAGATTACAAAGGTCCAAGTTCTAATACTGAGTTCTCCATTGATTCAACTGTGCTGGGGCTTTCTCTTCCAATAACTAGAAGAGTTAGAGAGAATCCAACTTTATTATCACTAAGATTAGTCTGATCTGATTGCCTGGGGAGCCTTTTGGGGGTGGGGATGGGCAATGACACTTCCTGCAAAATGCTCTGGAATTATTATCCTCTGTCCAATACCCCTCCATGTTGGCTGGGAGTGAGGCTGAGTGTGCCAGACAACCTCTGTCTTAAATACTCTGGAGACAGGAAGTAGCAATGGATGCTGAGAACAGGATGTGGTGGATATTTTTTAGCTGTATTAGGATTATTTCCTCTCTTGACAGGCTAGAACTTTGGGTCCAATCTAATAAGATGAAATTTAATAGGGATAAATGTAAAAATCTGACATTTGGGTTCAAGAAAGGAACTTCCTAAGTAGAAGATGGGGGGGGGCGGAGTGTGGCTGGAAAGCAGCTCCTATGGAAAAAAGATCTGGGGGTTTTAGTAGGCTTACTATGAGGAAACAGCATGATATGATAATGCAAGCTTAGGCTGTTAAGAGAAGTATAATATCTCAAAATAAGGTGCTAATTCTCTGTCCTGGTCAGACCACATCCTGGATATCGTGTGCAGTTCTGAGCACCATATTTTAGGGAAGACTGCAATAAGATTTCAAAAAACCAGGATAGTTGAAGGGGCTTGAATTCATGCCATATGAAGATAAGTGGAATAAACAAGTGATGTTGATAATTGAAGATGTTAAAACCTGGGGGGAGAGGGGCAGGAAATGACAGCTGTCGTCAAGTATGCAAAGAGCTATCATTAAAATTGTTCTTCTTAGCCCCTAAGGGCAGGAATAGGAGCAATGTGAGGAACTTACAAAGAGGCAAATTTATTTGATGTTGAGAAAAAAAATTAAGAGTTATCCAAAATCAGAACAGGTTTCCTTAGGTGGTAGTGGGCTCCCCCTTACTGGAGGACTTTGAGGAAATGAGGATTTGTCAGTGTCTGGTAGAGGCTCCGTTTTTAGATATAGGTTAGATTAAATATACTTTCAAGTCCCTTCCAACCCTGAAATTCTGTGGTTCTGAGCGCAATTTGTTCCCAGGTGTTGTTTCCAGATCCTTGTTGTCTGGGAAGTAAGAGCTCAGAATTACACCAGAAATTCTGAGTAGAAACTAAAGCCAATTTGCCCTCTTCTTGCATCCAAACAGAACCCACATTTCTGGGTTTGATTGCTTGTATTTCCACTGCATATTCATATATGATAAAATTGTGGCTATTTAGCAAAAGAGATCCCTCTTTAGGATGATTCTTTTAGGGCTGAAACTTCTATGTGATCGTGAATTATTAGGTTCATTGTTTATCCTTAATTTTCAAATGCTAAAAGTAGAAAGCATCAATATTGAACAAGAGTGACTTTCCTTAGAAGAGAAAAATTTAAAAATGAACATAAGCGTCAATATAAATAAAACATTTTAAAATAACATTTTAAAAAAACATTTAAAATAACATCAAGGCTAGGGCTGTTCCTCAAAACTTAAAACACAGCTTTGGGTGGTTAGGAAATATGATCCAGCAGCCTGCCTGATGACATCATGGTCTGAGAAATTTCCCTAAAGGTTTCTGAATAGAGGCCCAATTAGCCCTCGGTATTTCCTAGGAAATCAAGATTACCGGACAGGATTGCCCTTTCTGTCTGTGTGATCTATATCTCTCTGGTTGCATGCCAGGGAGGTTGCAGTCTCTTGTGAGTGAAGTCATCCAGAATTATCTCAGGAGGCAGTTTCTGAGAGTCTAAATTTTCCAATTCATCCATTAATTAAAAATCCAGCTTTTTGGTGAAAACTTTAATGCTAAGGCTCTAGTGGTCAGTGTAGGGGACATTTTGGAGGACTCATTCAGGTCTGGGGCCTGAGAGAAGCTTGTTCAGTTCTGCTTTGCTTAGTGTGACCTGGGTCCTGGGAACTCTGGGTCGGACAGAAAAAATGAAAAGTGAAGTGAAAAGTTTGTATCAAATTTACTCTTATTCTCCTCAAGAAAAGTTAATTTTGGAAATTCCTGTGTGCATCCCTGAGTAGGCTTCCAGGTTGTGAAAGATGAATTTCACCAAATAATATTTTCAACTATGAACATGAGAACAAGTCTCTTAAGTGAGTTCTGGATTCAGTGCAACTCTAAATTTTTGAGGATGGGGCTGGACAGCAGGGAAGAGTGGTTCAGGCTACCTCTCTGGTAGTTTAATGACTTCATTCCAGCAGGATGGGACAGTGGAAAGAAAGGCTGCCGGAACTGGAGTGAGAAGACCTGGGTTTGAAACCCAGCTCTGTCTGTGTGACCTTGAGCAAGTCACAGCCTCCCAGAACCTCAGTTTCCTCATTTGCAGAATATGGAAGTAGGACCACATGGCTCCTCAGGTCCTCTTCTATGTCTATGATACTAGGATCTAAAGGCAGGGGGCCAGCTTCCTAAAAGAGAAGCAGAAAAACCTAGTGAGATCAATGGGGCCAGGGCTTTTGGTCAAGTCTAAGCCACAGTCTCCAGTGCTTTCTGAGACGGCTTCTGTAATGGATCCTGGTAAAAATGCCTAGCCCGGGACCTGTTTTGGGTTAGATTCCATCTGTATTCATGAAGCAATGATCTGTTGTAACTGAAATAACATAATCAGTCCTCAGCATGAAAAGCAAATTTATCCTGTCAAAAAGCATTACCTTGAAGTATGTAGGCTGCTAGCAAAGCAGCATCCGATGTCTTACAGAGGAGGCGGCCATGGTAGAGATCCCTTTTGATCTGTAGGAAGACTAAATACCTGGAGAGGAAATGAAGAATGAGCTATAAAGTACTTCTTTGATTGTTTTAAAGACATAAAACATACAATTCAAGACAACCAAAATCTCTGTCAGAATATTTTCACTTCACGTAAGAGAAAACTTTTAAAACATCTCACCCCCCCCACCAAAAAAAAAAAGAAGAAAAAGAAAAAAAAATACAGCCTCCATGGAGTCTATTTCATGTACTTGTCCCTGATATGACTTACACATCAATTTAAAACACCCTGTCAGGCCCTCTCTGTAGCAGAGCACTCAGAAAAGATATTGCTTTCCCCGTGTACAGCATCTAATTCCACATTTAGTCTGAAGTGAGGGCATCTCAGCCAATTCCGTGCCAGGAAAGGAAAACTGCCCTTGGAGAGGTGTAGTTTCAGGGCTCTCTTTCATTCCAAGCTGTAAATTATGTTGCTCATGAAGACTCAGGAAGGTGAGAGCAGGGATAAGCCATCTCCAAAAGGATTTCAGACCTGATTGACCACAAGTCCTCTAAAAACCACAGATAAGTTTCAGGACTTTTACCCACCGAGGAGGAGTATGCCTCTGTCCGCATGGAAATGCTCAAAGGGTTTGCATAAAGCTCGGCAGAAGGTAGAGCCAAAGGAAACCTGACACTTAACCAGAAACACATAGGTAGCACCAGTTCAACTACAGAGACAAGACATGACACCTCAGGGGGAAGCCGCCACGTCACATATAATGGATCTCCGGGTATAGGAGCTGTCAGTGGGTACTGTCAGTTCCAGGAGACAGTGGTTCATTGGAAAGGAGGTTGGATTTGGAGTCAGAAGACTTCAGTTTGAATCCAAGCCCTGCCACTGTCATACCTAGGTGACAGAGGCAACCAGTAGCTCAGCACATAGAGCACTGGGCCTGGAGTCAGAAAGACCTCAGTTCAAACCTAGCCTCAGACACTTTCTAGCTGTGTGACCCTAGGCAACTCACTTAAACTCTCATTGCCTAATAAAACGGCTCCACCGGAGAAGGACATGGCAAACCACTTCAGCATCTTTGCCAAGAAAACCCTAAATGGCGTCACAGAAGGTTGGACGTGACTGAAGCAACTGAACAACTGGGCAAATTATTATATTTAACCTTAAATAATAATAATCATACAAATATATTATATTTAACCTTCCTAATCCTCAGTCCCCTTGCCTATAAAATGAAGGGGATTGTACTAGAACACTTCTAAGGACCCTTTCAATTCTAGATCCATGATCCTATTTAAAATTTCACAGGCTCACTGGGAAGAAACCCAAGCCATGGGCACAGAAAGATGGCCATTTAAAATAGGCTCATCCAAACTTTTACTGACTGCAGCTGTGGGGATATGTACCCCCCCACCCCCACCCCTTGCTCTCCTAATGAGCACAAAGCTATCCCCTGGGTACCGGATCGTAGGCTTTGATGTCAAGACACATGAAAGGTTGGGAGGTCCCTGGGAGAGGAACGGGAGTCTGATAAAAATTCCTTGGATTTCACCGGCTTGAATTAAGCAGAAATGGGGCTGCCATTTTGCACAATTCCATGGACATCATCTTGAGGAACAAAGAACCCAATCTTTGTTCTGTGCCTGGTGACTGTGGTTTATGATTTTAGCATAACCTGTCCATCCACAGAAAAAATGTCCAAGGAGGAAGAGTTGCTTAGTCATCGAAGTTACTGGAGAAAACAGGGTAAGGGCCTGGAAACCCTGGATCCCTCCAATTTCAAGAAATTAATGAAGGGAGATGAAAGGAATAGGTGGCTGTGCCTTGGACAGTTTCATGGTCTTGCTGGACCCTTCAAACAGAGCTATTCAAGCCTCAGACTCTGCCCTTTACCCTCCAACTTCTCAGTATCACGTACCTTCCAAACTTTGGCTTTCTTAGAGTATAAATGGAACATAGCACCCCCTTACACAGAAGATCATAGACTGAGGGCTGGAAGAGACTTTACAGTCTTACAGATGAGGAAACTGAGACTCATTCAAGGTTGCACAAGAAATAAGCATCGGAAATAGAATTTAAGCCCTGATCTCTGACTCTAGAGCCAAATGCTTTTCCCCACTGTATCACATCTCAACAAATGCTTATTAAGTTCTGACTATATACAAGACCCTGTGCTCAACAGAGATGTCAGCTGACAACTATATGGTACTTTAAGGCTTGTGAAGCATTTCCCACGAAGGGGCAGGATTTGAACCCAGAGTCAAATCCCAGCCTCCCGAGTGAAAGGTAAGGATGCTCTATCAGGGTGGAGTGGGGGAAGGAAGGGAAACAATTATTAAACATCTACTAAGCGTCAGATACTAGCACTAAGTACTTTACAAATATCTTATTTTATCCTCACAACAACCCTGGGAAGTAGGTGCTATTATTACCCCCCATTTTATAGATGAGGAAATTGAAGCAGGCAGAGAGGGTAAGTGACTTGCCCACAGTCACAGTGTCTGAGTCTGGATTTGAGCTTAGATCTTCCTGCCTGTAAGTCTAGCATTTTATTCATTGTGCCATCTAACCCATGAGAGATTCCAAAACCAACATGTTACGGTAACAGCTGCTTTCTAGACTTCTGGGGGACTGGTAAGGCAGCTGTAGTCACTGTGGTCAAGGTCAGGCTGTCAGAGCTTGACCCCCATTCCCAGGGAAGAAGAGTTCAGTGGTCCCTTGTAACTCAACTTTCTGGTACTACCTAGAAGAGATACTGGCATGTTGTCTCCTGTTACCCTAGGACCCCTCCTTCCTCACTACCCTCTAAAGACAGTCCAGCTGACCCTACAGAAAAGCTGGACATGAGAAAAGGAGATAAATCTGGAGCTACAGTCCCTAAGTACTGGCTCAGCATTGCCAACATTAATTTAAACTGCTGTTTAGTAGTGAGTCAACTCTGGAGCTGAATCACAAAAACATAGAATGCTAGAGCTGAAAAAGACTTCAGAGATTATTTATACTAACTCCATTTTACAGATGAGGAAACTGAGGCCCAGTGATTTTAAGTAACTTACCCCAGATCACATAGCTAGTTAGTGACAGAGGTGGGATGGATAGAACTCATATCTCCTGCCCCTGGAAAATGAAATCCACAGAGGTTTAAGTGACTTTCCTAAGGTTACAAAGTTAGCTAGTGGCAGAATCAGGGCTAGAACTTGGGACTTCAGACTTATTCATATAGGGGAAAAGGTCTCATAGTAGGGAGAGACAGATATTAAATTAGGTATTATCAAGGAGAACCCCTTAGTGGTCCAAGATAGAATCTATTAATAGCTCATGTTTTTATAGCACTGTATGTTTTATAGAACGCCTTCTCTATAACAAGACTATGAGGTCAATAGTCTAAGTATTATCCCCATCCTCCTTATTTCTCACCTGGCTTTGGAACTTCTCTGATTTTCCCACCAAGCCTTTGGGTACCTTCTCCTCTCCTCCACTTTTTAGCTTCTTTTTGTACATTGTCTTCCCCTTTTAGATTTTTTTTTCCTGTATTTGCAGCCCTAGCATTTAGCACATTGCCTGGCATATAGGAGGTACTTAGCAAATGTTTATTGCTTAACTGATTAATTTTACAGAGGAGCAAACAAAACATCAAAGAGGTGATCTTCATAAAGAAACTGCCCAGACAAGGCAGCAACCCTTATTGAATACAGTCTGATTTTGCCTGTTTTTTTGGCTTCGGACAGCTTTCATATCACTTCCAGTTTTTGTTCTAATGCTAATTTAGCTCCAAACCTATGGGAGTATGAATCAATCCCTACATAGTTTTAGCTCAGGCTGACTATGGGGCCAGCAAACCAGGGAAGGGAGAATTATATTTTTGAATGCACAATAATTTTCTATAACTGTTCTTCAGGTTGCTTAGGGTACTGCAAAATTAAGTGGACCTCTTTCACCTCTTTTTCCCTTTGATCTTTGTCTTCTTAACTTTGCTCCTGAAGTCAGAAGCTGGGAAGGAGAGTGGAAGCCCCTTGATGTCATCTGACCCCACTTGCTATATACCTCTCCCAAATGCCTTTTTATTGTTTAGTTGTTATCACTCATGTCCAACTCTTTGTGACCCCATTTGGGGTTTTCTCGGCAAAGATACTAACGTGGTTTGCCATTTCCTTCTCCAGCTCCTTTTCCAGATGAGGAAACTGAGGCAAACAGGGTGAAGTGACTTGCCCAGGGTCACACAGCTAGTAAGTATCTGAGGCCAGAGTTGAATTCAGATCCTCCTGACTCCTGGACTGGTACTCTATCCACTGTGCTACCTAGCTGGCCCTTTACTATACCTAAAGTCACTGATAAAGAGTTAAATTTGGTGCCTTCTTCTCTATTCTCTGTCTTCTGTGATTCAGACAGGGAACTCTATTTATTACTTTAAAAATGAAAAAAAGAGATTAATCAGGGCTTGGCACCTAAATTTATCACCTGGGAAGAGTCCAAGTGCTAAAATAAAAAGCAGCTCTCCACTACTCAACTTCATCTCTTCTCAGATGGGTTTTATAAGTCTGTTAGGTAATGATGCAGGCAGGGGGTGGGAATTCAGCACTAATATTCCCAGAGGAAATCACACTGACAGAGGTATTGGAGCAACAGCCAAGCTGTAGGGTAGCAGAGATGTTGAGTAAAGCTGGTACCCACTTTTCTTCCTATCAGCAGTGACTTAAAAGGAGAAGAAAGAACTTGTTAGCCCTAAGACCTGCTCTAATAGACCAGAGAAGGAAGAGACAACAAGAATTAAGACCAGACCCCATCTCTCACTAGACTCTGGACGTCCTGTCTCTCTCCTCTCCAATTCCTAATGGACCTCGCTGCCCAAGGGATATTCCTAAAATACAGCTCTGATGGTGTCATTCTCTTGAAGCTCCGGATGCCTCTAGGATCAAATACAAATTGCTCTGGTTTGTACTTAGAGCCCTTAATTATCTGGCTTCTCTCTACCTTTCCAAACTTATTACATATTGCTGTCTCACTCACACACACACACACACTGTATAGATCAGCTAACTGGGATACCT